ATCAGGGTAATAATTTTTAGAAAAAAACATTTTACTGAGAAACATTTACTTATTAATACTACGCATTTTCTTTGAACGTGCCTTTTTTTTCGACGATTTTGGATTTTTGACCCATAAATATGGGAGAAGCTGCAATAGCACTCATTTTCTTTGAACATGCCTTTTTTTCGACGATTTTGAATTTTTGACCCATAAAATATGGAGGAGGCCGTTATATTACGCATTTTCTTTAAACATGCCTTTTTTTTCGGCGATTGTGAATTTTTGACCCATAAAATATGGAGGAAGTTGTTATATTAAGCATTTTCTTTGAACGTGCGTTTTTTTCGACGATTTCGGATTTTTGACCCATAAAATATGGAAGAGGCCGCAATAGCACTCATTTTCTTTGAACATGCCTTTTTTTTCGACGATTGTGAATTTTTGACCCATAAAATATGGAGGAGGCCGTTATATTAAGCATTTTCTTTGAACATGCCTTTTTTTCGACGATTTTGGATTTTTGACCCATAAAAGAGGAGGCCACAATCTGAAAAATAGGGTCCTATAGTTTATGCAGGAAAGCAGTGGAAAATTTGAATCCCTTAATGTTAATTTCACGTTTTGCGTGCTTCGCTATATCTCGAGAACTTATCAAGCGAATCAAAAAACTTTTGCACACAAATATAAAATTTATTACTCCTAATACAATGCCTTGTAAGAAATTTTTTTAATAATTATTTAATACTTTATTCAGTAATAATCGGAAAAAAACTTGAATTGTAAGTTATAAAAATGTTTGCATAATTTTAAGACAAAATTCAGAATTTGAATGAAATCGGTTGTATAATTTCTGAGTTATTCATTTTTAAAAATTTGTATTTTTTTTAAATTTAATATGTTGTCCGATTGAGCTAAAATTTTGCACACGTCATTTATTTGTGGATTGAAGCAATACAGGAGATGGGCGCAAAAACTTTTAAAAAGTTGCGAAATATAGGTAACCCTATTACAAAGTTATAAAAACAACTACAACTTACTCCCCTAAAAATTTTAGTATTTTGGAGAACCATTGATTTTGCAAAAGTAAAAATTTTCGAAATCAGTATATCAATTCTCGATACAGTTCACATTATGAAATTATTGCGAATTTTCAGAAATACACTCATGAGTTTAATATCTATCAAAATTAATATTTATATATCTGCTGTCGGAAAACCAATAGTGCAATGTACTTTTTTAATTAATATTATATTTAATATTCAGTTAGTTTCAGTGAATAGGGAGATTTCGCAAATTTACGTTACCTCCCGTACATAAGATCTTAAGTAATTGCGCATGCGTCAATTCTGGTTAAATGCGTATGCGCCCATGAAAAGTTATCAAACGTATATAAGTGAAAATACATGATTTCGTAAGTTAAAAACGCTAACGTGGAATATCGTTTTAACTGTGACTAAAAAATCAAATTAAACATTTACAATGGGCGAAAACAAATACCAATAAAATAATTTTTTTACTGTTGTTGTTGTTGTTAATTTACGTCGCACTAGAGCTGCACAGTGGGCTATTGGCGACGGTCTGGGAAACATCTGATGATACGAAGACATGCCATCACAATTTTGATCCTCTGCGGAGGGGATGGCACCCCCGCTTCGGTAGCCCGACGACCTGCGCGCGAAGTCGAGCACTTTACGGTAGCACAGTTTAACGAGGACCAATACCGCACACCCTCGGTCCCTACGCAGACTGATCCAAGTGGTCACCCACCCGCACACTGACCGCAGCCAGTGATGCTTGACTTCGGTGATCTGCTGGGAACCGTGTCTTAACGATCAGTCCTGCGGAACCAATTTTTTTTTTTTTTTTTTTTTTTACTGAATCAACCAATTGTTGTAACATCACACGATTAATTTATAAATTTCATCATTGTATTTCTTCTAATTCGCATTCCATATCTCTGTTTTAAGTTCGAAGGTAGGCTTAAACAGACAACAACTTTTAACAGCTATGGATGGTTGATTGAATATAAACAATAACAAGCTTCCTGAAACTGTGAGAAATTTAGAAAACTTCCGGTGTATCTCTCCGCTTATGTTATGCTTACGAGGCAATGTGTGAACAGGCTTAATATTCTAAGAAGTTTTATTAATGTGATTTATGTTTAAATTTGCACGTAATTTTACCATTCATAAGAGTTTCTTGTAATTTATAAATTCTAAATGGTTATGAGCCTAAAATAAATTTCAAAAAATTAATATCACAACGTAAATAAAGTGTATAAGGTTTGCCATGTTTTGATCCAAATATCCCTTATTTGGCTGTATTTTTGTGTAAAATATGCCCATTAACTATTTTTGGGTTGCATCTAGCAGGACATAGCATGCTTGATGAGTCTTCCAAATTGTTATGTTGTTTGTTTAGTTGAAATTTAAATTTAAAAAAAACTCGTTTGATTGTAAACACTACAAGTATAATGAGATTTGATGGGCGCCCGTTTTCAAGTTAAGGCATAAAAATCAATTGGAAATAACCGGAAGTCTTACAACAAATTTTAACCCTTAGCGCCATCCGTGCTTAGCTTTGCGTCAGTGTTTCCCAAACTTATGACTTTTGTGTACCCTTTCTAAATTTTTCGTAACACTGTGTACCACTAATTAAAAAATACATTTATTTTTTACTATAAAAAAATTTGCACAAAAGTTAAAAATCACAACTAGCTGTTGACACCACTAATTATTAACTGTTTACTCTGCAAACAATAGCCAATAGAAAAATACGTAATCGTAAATTTTCATGGCTAGCTTTGTTTTTAAATGAAATTTTTTGAAATTTTCGTTTGTTGCAAGATATTTCGCATAAGAACGCGTACCCCCTTTAAACTGTTTCCGTACTCCTGGGGGTACGCGTACCAAACTTTGGGAAACACTGCTTTACGTGATTAATCATCCCTAAACAGAGTGCTTGTAGCTTTGTCTTTGTAGCGTTAATCACGCCAACATAACGTAAAGATAGGTAGCATCTAAAATAAAAGCGATCGTGTGCAGTTGGTCAAATGTTACGTACTGGAGCTTACGGAAGCTAAGGCAAAAGTGCGAAATCTCCCTATAAACTTTTTAAAATGAAACTTATAGTAAAAGCTAATTTTAAATGTTCTCCGTTTATATTTTAGACTGGAGAATTCATTTCACGGATAGTTTATATTTATGATATGGTTGGAATGACAATTGCAAAAGCGACGCACAAAAAAAGTAAGCAAGCATTCAGGAACAATTGAATCAGCAATTTGTAAAGGGAATATTTTTTTTCTTTTGAAAAATTCGTGTATTTCCTATATTAATCATATCTTTTTAAAGAATGAGTACATGCTGCTACCGTGAATGATCGAAATCAAGAGAATGGCGACTTTCACCGGGGAATGTCAAGAATCGCATAGTCCCTTCGGTGAATGTCCAAAATATTTGTTATACCTGATTTCATATTAATCCATTTTGATATCTGCTGAGGATAGATTAGGAGAAACATCAGCGCTTGGGGTACCGAGCAAATCTATACCCGGCAGTGACACTTAACTAGACCTAGTATATATATTTTGGACATTCACTAAAGTAACTATGTGATTGTCAACATTCACCGGTGGAAGTCAACAACCACCAATTTCGGTCATTCACAGTAACGTCGATTTTCTCACATAATAGCTAAATCAATCGATGCATTTTTTTAGACGTTGTAACAGCTCTTGTATGTTCATGTCATTAACGAATTGTACGACATCAGCAACCAATAAGGTATGAAACCCAGACTGGACGTCGCCTGCAGGTACCCAGTTGCACAAATTTTAATGTTTGTAATAGGCCCTTGACTTTCGGCTTTGTTTCCAGTTGTTGACATCGCACTAAAACTCCAACTCCGTAGCCTCGTAATTTTAAACCCAATCCAAAAGACAAGGGAATGCCTGGATCAATTATTGGGAGAAATTTGCCTTCTTGGAGGACTTTTTGATGGAACTCACCCGCATTCGCGTTACATGGAGATTAAAACTACGAAAACCTCCCACGGTTAGCCTGACGGCAAGAGGACTCCCATGATCCGTCTACCACTGAGGATATTTTATGACAGTGTTACGTCAGCACTGTGGTCATTGCGAGCCGTGTGTAGAATTCGTAGCTACCAGCCATCCCTGGGATTCGAACCCGTCACCTGATTGGATGGCGAGCGCGCTATCCCCTGAGCCACCACTGCTCATCCAAAGACAATAGTGACTGGCCCTACACCTCTACAATTTAATTCAAACGGCTATTTGTGGCAGTAATCACACTGCCACCGCACCACCCTTCCCTACTGCCCTAATTTCAACCCTGTAAACGCAGAGACATTAACTTAGTGTGAACGAATTACCGACGGCACGATCGAAGAAAGTGTATCCGATCAGACACAGAGCTTTTACCACGAAGAGCAACGAAAGCTTTCATAAGCGAAAATTTTACCCACTACTCCACTAATTATAAGCTTATTATGGTAAATCGTTAAATATAAGCTTATAATGGTAAATCGGCAATTATAAGCTTAACTTTTTGTAGTACTAAAGATATGTTTCAGCATCTATATTTCAGATAGCATCAAAATAATTTTATTCCACTCTATTTTTATTTCAATTTTTAACAAAACATGTTAAAAAAATTTACTAAAAAGAAACTACACTAAAGTTAATTGCTATCCTTCATGTTCTAACCAATTTCTTTGCCTATATTGTTTATACAGGGTGTTTCAAAATGTTCAGAAGAGTCATAAAAGGAATTACGGGGAGAGGAACTTACCATGACATATAGGGTTGCAAACCACATTATGGTGAAAATTTAGAAAACACTTACAGGCTTCAAAGTCATGCTGGGTAACAACTGCAAAAGACACTACAATTTTCCGAACTACTAAAATATTGATTTGTTTAATTATTACAAGAGTTATTTTAAATGGCGCCTGCTTATGTTATTGCACAATCTACAACGATGTAAAAATGACACTTCTACGCTTTTGAATATACGAGGTGTGCTTGTGATGTTTGCCGAAGAGAAGAAAATCTACACTATGAGATCATTCCGTGTCCACAGGCTTCTCATAAACTAATGATTTAAGACTACCCCATAAGAAAAGGCCTTAAGAATTAAGATCTGGTGAGCGTGGAAGCCATCGCATCCAATACACCTCATTGGGTATGTTGCATCGAGATGATTACACATCTGGAGGGCATAATGTACAAAGGCAACATAGAAGGCTTAATTTAGATAGGGTAAACCTCAACTATCTCCCACCTTCCGTATCATCTAGAATCAGACCCAGCTTGAGTTTTTTGCCATTTTCGCACTCTCAACGCGATGATATTCGGCCCCATTTTCATCATCTTGATGTTTTTTATCACTAATTGGAATTTGTGGTCGAATTTCGGAACTCGTTTACATATTATCTAGTAGGTATGACGTGAAAGGTTGAAGGTTCCTAGCCAACATGGAGACAGAATAGTGTTTTTCGCCAAAAATGGTTTCAAAAGAACTCTCTGGAACAATGTGAAAATATGTCTAATCATTATGTTGAATCGAGAGCTTCATTTATAATTTGATTCATTCGATAAATTTTAATGATTCGATAGCTCATAAATAACTGGCAGTGAACTATTAAATTACAAGGATCATTATTGTAAGAAGGAATAAATGATTTCAGTATGTGAATATAAAAAAAATAAATAAATAAATTTGCTAATAAAGCAGAAAAAATTTAGAAAAGAGGTTAAGCAATTTTTAAAAAAAATTTACTCTTTCAACATTTAAATTAATTGAAGATAAGACTGATAAATTTAACATAGTTTGACCTTTAGAATATTAAAATTTAAATTAAATATCATAAAAAAAGTAAATAGGTAATTACATATTTTGTAAATAGAACAAACGCTTCAAGAATACACCCTTTCCCCTTTCCTTCTTCGCCGTTACCATGATTTCGGCAAATCTTGCTTTACCCCCAAGGCAGTACGTTTCAGCAAGAAAATGGAATAAACTGGAATGAGGAAAATGCAAGAGTTGCTGAAACCATGGTAAAGGAGAGTGGTAACGCGTGGAGAGTAGGGAACTATCGTAACCTTGAGGTGCTTATTCTATCTTACAAAGACTATAACTCAAATCTACATTTATTTCCTTTGTTTTTAGGTCTGGAAATAGTAATGGAATGGATCACTATGTTTCAAAACAACTTCCCAGAACGTATGAAAACAGTATACGTAATCAACGGTAAATTTTATAACTGTTTCATTAAGGAATAGCTGTTAATTAAATAATAATTATGCTATAAATATCCAAAATTAATCGTTATAAAACGAAATATTGGAATAAAAAAGAAAAACAGAAATACAATTTATTTTTTTTAAACGGAACGCTTTATTTGAACGGCTTATAGGAGATTAAGGAAACCGCAAATTTATAGCTGAGCAATAGTCCAACCTAAGATAAGCACAATATAACGAGAGAGCAAAAGGGTTTAATTTTTTGTTGTTAGATGACGCCACTTGAAATTAGTTGTTGTTGTTGACGTCGGCCATTAAGGCAAAGGGAATGAGAGTGTTATTGTTTTCCAGTGGAGCCATGTATGGCTAAGAATTCGACTTCTGCCACACCCATACGTCACACCAGTTTCTTAGGACAGACTCATTCATGCATCATTCATTCATCCTCAAATCGAAATTTTGGCCTGAACCAGAGAACGATCAATCTTCAATACAGTTCACCCAGAGGTAAAATTTATTATGGGAACATGGAGGACTTTGTGATGCCCAGTGGCGTACGCAGAATGTTTTCAAAGGGGGTGTTCATAATTTGCTGGAACTACTGAAAGAAATTCGAGTATGTAATAAAGCACTATTATTTCCCTAATTTAGACAGCTAAACAATTTTGACTTTTTATTTAGACAACATTGTTTAGTTAAATTTTGATTTGATTTTTTAAGTTTAAGAACATAATGTAATATCTTCTGAAAAAAGTCCAATGTCATATGGGTGGGAAGTAACACTTTGAGGGCCACTTTCACATTCATCAGATTTTGTTATGCTACAAACGTTTTCTTCAACGGAAGTATCACATTTCCGTACAACAGAAAAACTTACACTGGTACTAGGTGCTGTCACCTCACTAATTTCAGGTCGTGATTTTTTCTCAAAGTAATTAAAAATTGTTAAATTCTTGCGTTTTGACATCCTAAAGATCCAAGAACAGCAAATATATATATGTATATATTGGAGCAGAAATATCCGCTATGTTACGATCTCAAAGTTTCAAGCTGGAATGAATAACTTCAACGAGCACAGTATCACCAATGGTATTGTTACTGATTTCTTCACTAGTCGAAATAGTGGCGACGACGGGTTCTGCAATTGAATGAACTTTTTGTTAAGACAAAACAGATTTAGCGACAAGCTCCAAAAGACAAGCGGCAGGATAACTCTTAGCCCGACTAACTAACTCCACTAACTAACTATTCTAGTTTTATCAGAGTACCTATCCAGTGTTGGATATCTGCTCTTTCATCGCAATAGAAAAATAAGTTGGAGGATGGAAAGGGGGTTGCTGCATTAACAGTAAGTTAAATCTCAGAATGTACAATAGTTGAAAATCATAATTCTAGTCTGGGTTATACATAACAATAAAATCGCAATTTGATACATAATAATAGAAACAATTGAAGATAAAAGAAAAGTAAATTATTTACATTATTCTAGGATTCCAGAATCATCGCGTAAAGACCTCGCGACTGCCAGCCAGTCTCGAAAACTATCGCGACTGGCAGGACAGAAAGGAACCAGTGCGTAACATTATCACGTGAATTTGGTTTCAAAAGTACAACCCTATTATAGTAAATGTTTTTTCAGTATTCTGAGAAATACCGTGAGAAAAAATGTAGGCATAAGGCAAATAAAAATATATAGTCTTAAAAAATAATAGCCCGCATAATTTCTACTAAAATTTTCATTTTTGCCATTTTGTCTGAGCTCAAGGGGGGAGTTTAAACCCCTAAACCCCTCCCTTGCGTACGCCACTGGTGATGCCACAAATTTAACGTGCAGCAGTCACCCTTTACTACACGGAGAGTCTTTGGCCGGCTGGATTCGAACTCCCATTCTCATGAGCGTAAGTCCAGCTCCCCGCCAACCAGGCTATCCCGGCTCAACATCAAATTAGTCGCAGCACGAAGTAAACACTAATTCAGTTTTATAAGTAGTGAAATGAGGCCGACATTCAATGGCCGAAAACATAAGTAATGTTAGCGATTTTATTTATGTTTAAAGCATTCATAGTTTTTTACTTTATAAGTAGCAAAGAAATGTGTAGTTTTATAATCACATCTATGCGTTATCTTAGACGGTATGTTTTTATTCTTCACTTTTGACAAAACTTCTGAAGTATTATAGTAAGGAAGGTGTTTATAGAACACCCTTTTCTTTGTGCATTATCCATTGATAATCCTTTGATTGATGGATAATTTCATTCATTTCCATTCTTAGCTAAAATAACATTAAAGCTTGAAATTTAAACACTCTGATGAAAATATGATAAAATTGAAACATTTCATATCTTTACAGCCCCCTCGTATTTTTCAGTCTTGTTTGCTATTGTGAAGATAGTTATTTCATCTGACCTCTTAAAAAAAATTCAGATTGTTGGACCAGGTAAGTTTAGCTTTCTGACCCGTTCAAATATTGCGTCTGCTGTTATATAGTTGAACAGTCTCATTTCACTTTCAGTAGGCAAATCGTAAACAAGATAAAGGCTCACAGAAAATTGTGTTTTCTCCTCAAAAAGATATTTTCCCATTGGGAAAATGAGTGTTCTTAGTTTTTCATGTGCACATGCTTTTCGACTGACTAGATCAACTTCACTATAATAAGAAAAAAAGAATCGTTAGAATTACAAAAAATTGGGCTGACATAAGCATTAATTAAAGAAAAATAGCACAAAATCAAATAAAATAAAAAGCAAACGATAATTTTGAAACTTCTTAAAGTTGATTGTTTCTTTATAGCCCCTGAGTTTTTTTTTTATTTTCACCAGCGCTTATTTTTAATGTTTTAACATAGGGTAAACCAACCAGTGAAGGAACACTACCCAGTGAAGGAACATTTCATATACAGGGTGTCTATAAAAGAACTCCGGGGTTTTGAGGCAAAATATTTTAATGAAATAAAAAACATACATACATGTTTTATACATGACTGAAAAGCTTACATTTTCAAGTTTTTTTAACACTTAGTAAAGTTCTATATGAGCCCCGTTAGTGGCACGGCAGACGTCTAAACGGTATTCTACCTCTTCCCATGTCCTGGCGAGCATGTCTGGGGTGACGGTTGCCACACAATTGACTATTCGTTCCCTGAGATGTTGAACATCACGAATTTTCTCTGCACTTTGTACGGTAACTAAAGACTTCGTTTCTATGAGCCAAATAACACATTGAGCCTTTTGTTGCGGAGTCGCCATCATTTCAAATTTCGCGACGTCATTTCAAGGTCAACGCCCTGCAGCGTCGCCAACAGTTGATACAAACATTCCCAATTGGTATGAGTAAAACTTTTTGAGCTACTCTTTTCAGAGAAATCGACTAAATTTTGCTATCTTTTATAGTTAGTGAGATATGAATTTTTAAAACCCCGGAGTTCTTTTATAGACACCCTGTATATTGATTAAACATAAGAATTTGAAAGATTTTCTTTAGATTGATTGGTAACAATAGCTTACTACCAAACAATAGGAAGTCATCTAGCAATGTTTTGGATTACCTGGTCACATAGACTTCTCTGGAAAAAATTTTGAATTTGTTATTATTTCAGAAACACCTTGTTTCTTTGAAAAAATTATAAGGTGAGTGTTTGTATTTATATGTTTGAAGTGGAATTAATTGCATATAATAGTTTTATTTTTCTCACTGTGAAAAAGAGAATTCAAAATATAGTTACTGAAGTTACGTTTTATTTTTTTCAAGCATCATAGCATAATAAATTACTGAGATAAGGGGGTGTTTATTCACTGGGTCACCAAACGATGAAAAACCAGTGAAGGAACAAGTGTTCTTTTACTGGTTTTTTTTTCTAAGTTAATCAAAATGAAAGAAAAACTTTATTTTTCTTGTACCTTTAGTGATGTTCCGCATCAAAAGTATCAAAAAAGACGAAAAACAACTTCTAACCAGTGAGGGAACAGGCATGTTCCTTTACTGGGCATAGATTTCCCAGTAAATGAAAAGTATGTGTTAATTAATATGTTGACACTTCACTTTTCAATTCATGATTACAAAAGAAAGTTAACATTTTCCAAGTATTTGTAGGTTATAATTTCAAGAATAGGCTTGTTTTTAGATATTTGTATGGCATATAAATTCATAAAGAGCATTAAAAAATAACCAAAATTAAGTGTTCCTTTACTGGGAAATTTTGTGTTCCTTCACTGGTAAGAGCTGTTCCTTCACGTGGTCTTCCAACTACTTGTTATTTGAACCTCCAAAACTTTAAAACAATATTATGTAAGTTCTCTACACTGTTTTTACATAATTTGCAATTAGTAGCATATATGTTGACACTGTCATTTAACTAAAATTATGAATTTTGAAATTAATATGATTTTTTGAAAGGCAAGCGAAGCTTAAGTGTTCCTTCACTGGTTAGTTTACCCTACTATTAATTTAAGATATTTTAGGTTCTTTTTACAATTAACTTATTCATAATTACTGTCTTAACCGGCGATTTTAATGTAAATATGAATACTGAACAAAAAATAAGAAATTTGTGACGTCTTAACCTTTCGACGCAGAATTCTTATTGAACACATTTTTTATGGTTTTTCTCATTATTTTGAATTAATTTAAGTCAAAATATGCTACAAATATTATCATTTTAATAATCTATGGTTACGAAATATAGCCTGAAAGGCTGGTGTCCTTTTCTGATCTAGATAAAATCTACCAGACACAGCTAACTTTCGACAATAATATTTTTAGATTTGCACTTATTTACGTTATTTAGATCTAAGAGAGACAGTTATTCAACATTGAAATTTCTTTTATTTATAAAATTAATTGCTGATAAATTTGTAAATGTGAATGGGAAAAAATTCTTTTTCATTTTATATTTTAGAACAAATATAATTCCGATAATCTAATTGATTTTTTTTAGTTACAGTTAGACTGTTTTTAGAATTAAAAAACACCAAAATATGTTGTTTTTTGCTCGTAATTAGGGTGTCAGAAAAAAAATATATAAATGGGACACCGTAGTCCCATCGGCGTCAAAAGTTTAAAAATTGTATATATATATTGTCTGAAATTTTAAACCAATCCAGCCCATCGGAAGGCTAAAATACGAACACCATTTGATGCAGTTTTTGTAACACATGACGTGAAATAATGTGACGTTTATGAAAGTCTATCCAGAAGAAGAAGAAAAAAACATTCAATTAATGGATAACCAGTGATCGTAATGCTATCATAATTTTCCCTCCTTTGTCATTATATTCTTTTTATTTTATTTCATTTATTTTTATATTTGTGGAATTTGCAGTTGATTTTTTTTTCTTGGAAAACAAAAATTTGTATCTTACGTAAGCATTATTCATTCCCCCTCTTCTTGACTAGCTAGAGAGCTACAGTATCTAGCTAATGGATGTATCCAATCTACGACTTAAGCACATTAAAAGTGCATAAATATCGATTTTCTAATATTATTAGAAAGTATAATTTTATAACTAGTAGTTATTTGGCTGAAGCAAAACATATTATGAAGAATAAAATGGATTTAATAACGAAGAGTTAGATCAATAAAGTATAAGTTTTCTTAGAATAAAAGAAAAAAATTTAAGATCATATTCGGTTGTTAATAACAAACTGTTTACATGACATAAAAAGAATTTAAAACTCTATGTAAGATTTTTCTTTTTGTTTTATTATTATTATATTCTACTTTTTTATTCCGTTTTTTTTTATTAATATTATTCCAAGCCCCCCCCCCTCCATTTTCAGGACTCATGGGGCCCAGGTGCTAATACTATATTATTAACCGATCGTAATCTTAATACTTCATTTTTTGATCCTGCAGGAGGGGGTAAACCTATTTTATTTCAGCATTTGTTTTGATTTTTTTGTCATCCTGAAGTATATATTTTGATTTTACCAGGTTTCGAAATTGTTTCTCATGTAATTAGATCAATAGTAGGAAAGCGATAGCCATTTGGTAGATTAGGAATAATTTATATGAATTATTATTATAATTATTAGGAATAGTAGGGATTGGATTAATAGGGTTTGTAGTATGAGCTCATGGAGCCTGAAATATTAAAAAAGAATTATATTTAATATTAAAAACTCATAAACTATTTTACTTTAATTATATTAGGTAATAGCGTAGACCCCCTACCTACTGAAAACAGTTATTTATAACTGTTCGGGTAAGATTTACCCATGCGTAGCCAACGTACTCTATACTAAATGTGAAAATGGCGCAAAATGTCAATAAATAAAGAGAAGTCTAATTTGTGAAAATAAAAAACATTTCTGATCCATTTTTTTTTTTATCAATGCTTGGGAAGTTACACTAAAGCTAAATTGTTTGGCTTCATAATATATGCTGAAACTGAGAATTACATAGGATATTTTTTTTGTTTTTTTTTTTTGGCGTGCGATTTTTTTAACAGATCTTAGATTTCAAATCTGCAATCAGTTTCTCCCTACAAGCTACAGTTTTTTTAATAGCATTTTTGGTCTATTTTTCTCTTCGCGTGCGTCCGAATAGGTCATAATAGGATGAAGACGACTTTTCGGAGCATGGGTTCCTATGCAAGTTTTATCTCATAATGTGCTCCCTAAATGTCTGTTGCTACCTTTACGCGACCCCCTGTTATAACTTTTTTTTAACTGTGCGCAAAAAAAAAAAAAACCTCCTGAATAACTTTTGATCTAATGATCGGATTTTCACGTTCTAGGACTCTATCTTAATGGTTCGAAGGGATGACCTCAAATATACTAATTAAGTAATTAATAAGCGCAGAAAATATCTTAAGTTACGAAATCGGGCACAAAAACGCACTTTCTCGGAATAAACATACCTTTTTTTCGACGGATACAGATTTCTGACTCCAAAAATATAGAGGGTAGCCGCAATCTGGGAAATATGGTCCCAATAGTTCGGTTAGGACCTCTCCAAAGATTGAACCCCTTAATGTTAATTTTACTTTTTGTGTATTTCACTACATTTCAAAAACTGATTGAAAAATTTTTGCACACAATTATAAAATTCGTTTGCCCAAAAGTAATTCTATGCAAAAAAATATTTTTAGTAAATATTTATTATTATTCTATTTAATAATGGTCGAAAAAGTTTCGAATTGTAAGGTATAAAATTTTTACATAATTTTAAAGAACATAATTTTACATGGTAAATTACAAATTTTGAGCAAATTCAGTCGAATAATTTCTGAAGAATCAAATATTAAATATCTGATTTTGTTTTCAAATTTAATTTCTCTAGAACTATTCCACCGATTTTGCTCCGATTTTTTATTTTTCCATGTAAAGTTGTATTCTTTAAAATGATGCAAAATTTGTATACTTAACAATTCAAAATATTTCAGACCATTATTAAATAAAATAATAAAAAAAATTTAAAAAAATTACGAAAAATAAATTTTTGCATGGACTTAATTTTGGATAAACGCATTTTACAATTGTGTGCAAAAAATTTTCAATTCGCTTCAGAAGTTCGCGAGACATAGCGAAATACGCAAAAAGTAAAATTAACTGACTGTGGTCCAAACTTTGGAGAGCTCTCCTCACTACCATATTTCCAAGAGTGTGGTCTGGTTTTGAAACTCAGTTGCCCCCCCCCCCCAAAAAAAAGCAGCATAAGTGTCTTACATTTGAAGCAAAACGATGATTTTAAACTATTATCTCCTTTTTAACTATAATCTTGCCGTGAAGAACTTTCTGGGCTTTAGAACAGATGAATAATTTAAACATTTTAAAAGTTAACTTTTTAAAAATTGAAGATGAAAATTATCAAAATCACATCCTTATTTTCAGTTTTTACAATTTTTTAAGAGCCCAGATAATGTAGCATTTTTAAATATTAAAAAATTAGGGCCACAAATTCTTTTAATATCCATAAAACTGTGGCTTTTCTCTATAGAGACGTTTTGCGCCATTTTCAGAATTAGCATAGATAGCTTTAGATAGGCTAAACTTGTCCTAACAGTCATCAGTAACTGTTGCAAACTCACAGCAGTTATGAAAATGGCATGTTATTAGCAAAAAACAATCATTTCGTATGACGATGAAGCCTTCGAAAAACAACCTTAAATCCTTTGTCAAGTTTGAAATACAGATAATTCTTTCAAGCATGATAGATAGTTTAAAATAAAAACTTGAAATTAAAGAAAAATTACAGTTTAAAATTAAAGCTCAGAAAAAACAATATCACATTTCAGAGAAAGTAAAGGAGACGTTATTGGAGACAATAGATGCCGATGTCTTGCCAGCATTCCTTGGGGGAAATAGAACCGACCCGGATGGTGATCCTCTCTGTAAAACATTTGTGAGTATGCTTTTATATATTTATTTCTCGTACGTACCACCAAAAAACGCTGGTATTTCTCTTCCTAAATTGGCAACACTATGGACATCTATAATAATTTATTTTGTTAGGTTGCCTTAAGTAATACTTTAAGTAGTGTTAAATAATTAGTTGTATGTTACGTATTTATTTAGATTCATTTTGTTAGGTAGTCTTAAGTTACAGCTAAGCAGTGTTGAATAAGTTATTCTTTAAGTATTTATTTAGAATAATTTTATATTTTTACATTACATGTATTACAATTGAATATGATAATAGATTTAGTTTAAAATTTCTCATGTGCTAAATCTGGCAGAATTTTTTTTTTCTTTTTAGTTTTTTTAAATGGTTATTTCCAATTTCAATTCACCGTCAATGTGAAAGAATGTTCCAAACGAAAACTTAAAACCTCTCGCTGCTTTTTTCTTTTTTTTTTTTTAAATCAAAAGAAGTTCAAAAATTGCGCTTCTATTCAAAAATCATCTGTTAATCAAGACCTGAATAAATTAAACATCACAAAAAAGCCGAAATGGAACCATTAACAAGAAAAGACTTAGAGAAAAAGTTGGTTAGTTAAATAGACGTAAAAAAATGCTTTCTCACAGAAATCGCGGATTGCGCAAATTTCGCTAATTCTACGTTACCCGTGGAAATCGTGGGATACGCAGCGAGAAAGTTAAAAGCTGTTTTTAAAACATCCGAGTGGTAGGTACTTTGAGGAAGGTGAAAGTAACTTAGAAACTTATTCAATAGGTATGAACCTTACAAAATATTTTCAGAAGTTATAAGATCAATTTTGGAAATTAATAACCACTTCTTGTAATTTTAGATATGCCATGGAGGTACAATACCGACTCAATACTATCTCTCCAAGAAATCAATTAAGCAGGAAGATAACGTAGAATACCTTTGTGTATTGAGAAACTCGCAAGTCGAAATCGTAGTAAATGTTGAAGTGCCAGGCTCCGCTTTGATGTGGGAATTCGAAACAACTAACAAAGACATCGGATTTGGAGTTTATTTTCAAACTGATGCTGGCGAGTTCATTGAATTGATTTGTAAGAAAAGGATTGAAACTACCTGGGCGCCAGAAATGGGATTGCATGCTTGCGAAAAATCTGGTTCTTGTAAGTTCTATTTTCCTTCACTTTCATGTCAAAAGTCGCGATTGTGACACACAGTTGTCCCCTTGCTTACACACACTGATCGTCAGGCTGATCATCAGGCGCGATTCCCAGTGGATCATTGAAGTCAATCATCACTGGCAGCGGTCAGTGAGTGGGTGATCACTTTAATCTGACCTCGCAGGGACCGAGGGTGCGCAGTATCGATCCTCTTTAAACTGTTCTACCGTAAAGAGCTCAACTTCGCGTGCAGGTCGTCGAGCTACCGAAAACGAGAGCTTTCCCCTCTACAGAGGATGAAAATTGTGATATCATGTTTTCAAATCATCCTCAGGGATGTTTTTCAGACCGTCGCCAATAGCTCATTGTTCAGCTCTAGTGCGACGAAAATGAAGTACTACTACTACTATAACACTTAAACCACTTCCCTTACCAAGTTTTTTTTTTTGTAAATGGAAAAAATCAACATACTTTTTTTTTCTTTTTTCATTTCTTTAAGAAGTACAACAAACTAAAACAAAATATAATACACGGGTTTTAAGTTGAAATTTTGGTTGGTGGTTGGTTCTAATGCCACATGGGCAAGCCTGCTTGGTGAAACCGAGCAAATTTAAGTCAGAGAGTGCAATTCTTGCTTTTCAGTGGCGCCATCTATGGCCAAGAATTCGACTTCTGCCACACCATATGTCACACCTGTTTATGAGGCGAACCCATTCATACATCCACAGATCGCAATTTTGACATGAATCAGAGAACGATTGATCTTCAATCCAGTACCCCCAGAGGTATTGATTTGTTATGGGAACATGCAGGACTTTGCGACTCGACAGAATTTTAACGTGCATCAGTCACTCGGCCAGCGGGGTTCGAAACCACGAACTCTCGGACATGAGCCCAACGCCCTACCGACCAGCATATCCCGGCCTACTGTTGAAATTTAAATTTTTTTATGTGTAAAAAACATTACATTTACCATCAGTATACTATCCCAAGTTATTTCGGGCAAATAAAAAAAGTTAAATATTAGTCTTTGCAAGATAGTTTTTAAAACAAGGGACAACACAAAGTGATACTTTCCAAACACCGGAAAAGTGATAAGCAATTTTTTTTACGATTTTTTTCTACATAAATTCAGCATCGTATATACAATCGCACATAACGCACTTGTGCAACTCCACAATCCAACAGCATAGCTCCCAAACAAAACTTGGCAATCTTCCAATCACAGCAGATTATTATTATTTTTTTTTTTTCTTCAGGCCGAGTAAAAACGTGATTAAACAAAACGTACTGACAAATTATGCCCGAGTTTTCTCGGGATAATCATGAAAGCGGTTAAAGCGTCACATAGGAACACCAGTTCCAAATCTAGAACCTCCTCTCTTTTTTTCTGCTCCCTTGTATGTGAATGTATTACAGATATTTTCACCTTCCACAATGCATTGCGCTTTTAAATGATTTTTCTACCCAGTTTGAGGTATAAACCCATGATGTATGTTGCACACATGCAGCCGAAACATACAACAAACACATATAGTAAAAGTTTATTATCGCTCACTATACCAAGAATAATTTTTATAACATACTGCCGTCATAGCAACGATTGCCATTGCGACTTACTATTCATTGCTCAAAAAAATTAAATAACTTCTCAAAAATCACTTAAGTAATTTAGTGTCGCATCTTCTTTTAGAAAATAAGCTATTTGTAATTAAACTAACTATACTATACTGTATTTATAATTAACAAAATTTTTAATCAAAATATTATAAATCAGTTAACTGTTACAAAGTGTAAAATATATATATTTATTACCAAACTATATTCCTAAAAAAAATATTGTTTTCTTTCAGACGTTCTTATTTTTGACAACACTTACAGCTGGTTTTATACGAAAGAGATATATTACAGGATAAAAATTATTCTACCAACCACAGAATGAGAAAGACAATAACAGATATAGGTTTAACGTTTATTAATCCATTTTATAAACATTTTAAGGTATCAATGGATTAATAACAAAAAGATTTTTTTGCTTAGATGTGATGCTTTTAAGTCTGTTCTATATTCAAATTAAAAAAGAGAACTTTCAGCAAATGAGTTAATAAATTGGATATTTTCTTCTGGAAGATCTGTCCAGGGCCAGATTAAGCGTACACCTAAGCCATTCAAATTTTTGGGGCCCTTAGATTAAATTTTTTTCTCGTATATTTTTTATTTATTCAAATATAAAAGTAGTTATATATATCTTCATTTAAGAAAGCATATTTAAAATTAAAATAAATAATAGTAAATTAAATTTTACTTTATTTTATTAAATTAGAACTAAAAAATAATCATAACATTTTGAAAAAATTTGAAAATTCATTATTTTAAGGGGGCCCCAGGCCATGGCCCAGTCTAGTCTAATGGGTAATCCAGCCCTGGATCTGTCCAGTGACATATATAGTTTGTCTAAAATAAGAACTCCCCCAGACATTCGTCTGGACCTGTGGCAGTGACTATGATAACGAGGTATGATTATTTCAAGTAAGGGTGCAGAGTCACTGTTTTGGAGTGGTTTCGGCTCTGCTCGGCGAGAGAAAGGGAATCAGTCTACTGTGTGAATCCTATAAGCTACCCTCCCCAAAATGCACTTTTCTTGTTTGTTTCCATAGCACCAGATGACCTCAGACTTTGTGGCGGGAGGAGTTCTTAGCTTAGACAAACTATAAAAGGACACATCACAGCTAAAGGGAATAGATTTCTACTCTTGAAAAATTATACAGTTATCCATTTAATTTCTTAAACTAGTTTTATTTGATTAACTGGCAGAGGTGGTAAATCAATTAAGCNAGTTATGTATATCTTCATTTAAGAAAGCATATTTAAAATTAAAATAAATAATAGTAAATTAAATTTTACTTTATTTTATTAAATTAGAACTAAAAAATAATCATAACATTTTGAAAAAATTTGAAAATTCATTATTTTAAGGGGGCCCCAGGCCATGGCCCAGTCTAGTCTAATGGGTAATCCAGCCCTGGATCTGTCCAGTGACATATATAGTTTGTCTAAAATAAGAACTCCCCCAGACATTCGTCTGAACCTGTGGCAGTGACTATGATTACGAGGTATGACTATTTCAAGTAGGGGTGCAGAGTCACTGTTTTGCAGTGATTTCGGCCCTGGTCGAGGAGAGAAAGGGAATCTCTTTCTTCGTTCTATTGTGTGAGTCCTATAGCTAACCTCCCTAAAATGCACTTTTATTGTTTGTTTCCATAGCACCAGACGGCCTCAGACTTTGTGGAGGGAGGAGTTCTTAGCTTAGACAAACTATAAAAGGACAAATAACAGCTAAAAGGAATAGATTTCTACTCTTGAAAAATTATACAGTTGTCCATTTAATAATGGGAAATTTTAATTTCTTTAGTTAGTTTTATTTGATTTACTGACAGAGGTGGTCGACTTAACAAGTTTCCCTGAATACAATTACAAAGTTTTTATCCATCACCTCCTGACCCCAAGTCCCGCAGTGGACTGATCGTTAAGACACAGTTTCCAGCTGATCACCTAAGTCACGCATCACTGGCTGCGGTCAGTGTGCGGGTGGGTGACCACTTGGATCAGTCTGCGTAAGGATCGAGGGTGTGCGGTATTGGTCCTCGTTAAACTGTTCAATCGTAAAGTGCTCGATTTCGCGCGCAGGTCGTCCGGGTGCAATCCCCTTTGCAGAGGATCAAAATTGTGGTGGCATGTCTTTGGATCATCCTCAGGGATGTTTCCCAGACCGTCGCCAATAGCCCATTGTGCAGCTCTAGTGCGATAGTAAATGAACTACAACAACAACCTAACCCTCTATGCCTACATTTTTCATAAATTTATTTTTACACACTTTAATCCTTTGGTGCAGAATTTTTATTAGCCATAATATTTTTTTTATTATTTTGTATTAATTTAGGTCAAAAACGATTAAAAAAAACATTTAGCATTTTAATAATTTATGGTTATGAAGTATAGGATGAAACGGTGATTTTGTTTTTCTGCACTCAAAGTAAAATCTTCCAAACACGGCTAAATTCCAAAGAATAATTTTTCACATTTGCTCTTATTTACACCACCAATATTAAGACCTAAGAGAAACAGTTATTCATCATTGAAATTTCTTTAATGTACAAAATAAGTTATAGATAAATGCTAGAATGGGAATGATAAAAAAAAAAGTCTAAAATTACTTTTTTTTGGATTTTATATTTTAGTACAAATATAATTCTGAGAATCTAAGATATTTTTTAGTAACTAATAGACTGTTTTTTATAATTAATAAATTACAAAATACATTGCTCGTTTATAATTAAAGCATACAAAGACACTAGTGTCTCATCTAAGTCAAAGGATTAACAAGATTCACCACCAAAAAATATTTATGTTATGGGTTTGTCTTTAAAAAAATTGGAGCCTAAAGCCTAGTAGACCTTAGGGGTAATAAAGCCTAGTAGACCTTAGGGGTAATAAAGCCTATCTGGTGGGTGAGTAGAGCAGAGCATTAATGTGATTTCTTCTTCTAATGGCGTGACAGCCTTTTGTCGGCCAGAGCCTTTCTCCATTCCTTTTAATGTCAATCTAACATGATTTCCCTTGTTTTATTACTTCTTTTCATTGAAGGCTTCATTAGCCAAATTAGTAAATAAAGTTCACTTAATGATAGTTTTTAAAGAAGTCATAGCAATTAATATTTACTGCTAACAACATAGAGTCAATTTACCTACAAATAAAAATTAACACAACAAATTGACAAAAGTTTTTAAGCCATTAAGTAGAAAATTATTTCTCTATCAGAGGTGTATTTCTTTTCTTTTTGTTTTATGAAAATAATCGATTCAGGAATAACGGCATTCATCTGTGTTAACTGATTTGCTAAGAAGGTGTTATCATTACCAAGAAACAACAAAACAACTTAAAAGACTAAAATTTTATTATATCCCTGAATTAATAAACAAACAACAGCCCTAAATATTTGAACAAATAACAACATACATCCCTCAATTCATAAACGAATCAAAACAAAGACATATAAAATAGAAAATACTTTTATTACCTAAATTTGATGACAATCAGATATTTACTTCGTATAGTTACATAAAAGTTTTATTTAATGTTTATTTTTTACCTTATTTTGCCTAAAATTTTTACATTCAAGGGTTAGCGGCTCGTTCAAAATCCTCCCTTGTTTCGGTGTCACAACACTTTTCCTGCTTTACGCTTCTTACAAAGATAGGAGGACATTTTCCCAAAACCACATCACTAGTTATGTGTACAGTAACAATATCAGATCCAGGAATTTCAAACATAGCTTCGAGTAAAATATTTTCCTGTTAAAAGAGACATTTTTTGTTTATTACTGGCGGTAATGAAATCAACAAAATAAAGGACAAAACTTTATTAACATATAAAAATAATAATAATTAGAATCTATGCATAAAACTAAAATAAGAAAAACTTCAGTAGCAGAAAGAAAAAAAAATTCTGCTAATCTGAATCAAGAACAAACTTCATCAGACAAAAAATATCTAAGTAGTATTATGCATTATTTGACTAAAAAATTCATTCACTTCAAATTGGAAATAACTGTAGAGATGTTTCAAGCGCTCAAAAATAGGGACACTTTTTTAAGACTTATCAGACGTAAATGAGAAGAAACAAAAGTGATTTGAATTATAAAATAGCAAGTGAAAATTGAAAAATAAAGGTGAGAAACAAAATTAGAAAAACCACAAACATACTTAGACAAACATGTCATAAACATAGCTCTTCCACTATGACACTTTGAACAATTAAAAAAAATTTCCATCAAAATAATGCATGAATATGTCACAAAAAATGAGAACAAAAGGGCATAGCCAATTGATAAAACTCTCAATTTGTCTATAGAATTTACCATTGAATTAATAAGCAGTTTACTGAAGAATGAAATTGAAAAGGGAGATAATATCTTCAATTTCAATAAAAGATAAGTGAAATTCTTGCAACCATAGTTTTAAACAATGAATAGCACTAGAAATTGGGACAATAATGAAAGGAGAAACATCAAGAGAGAGCACAGTTTTGTTGGAAGAGAAAAGATGTGCTAGTAGGGAAACAAAATCATGGGAATTGTAAACAGTATAGATTTTGTTGGAAGTTAAAGAGTGAAAGGATATGCGTTTAATAGTGAGCACGTTTGTAGCATGGGGTACAGGCTCCTTCCTCTTTAAACTCCTAACTTAACTTCCTATGCTCACTCGCTGCTAATCGTGGATTTAACCTTTCGATTTAGCTCTTGCTAAATTCACTAGACAAAAACCTCACTTTCTCTAATCCTTACAGAGAATCTTTCTTTTGTTCGTTATTAAAATTATTCTGTCTCATTTTGGTTTTAAAGTTACTTTTAGACAGGCTAACAAATTTATCTATAAGATTCTATCAGTTTTGATAGTCGCTGCGGCACTTACCATATTCCTTGTCAGTGTGACCTTGGCTACTTCGAACAAACTAGACGTCCTTTAAAATTTTAACCTAAGGAACATGATAGATAGGTACATTATCAATAATATGAGAAATCATTATCTGCTGCTCATTGTCTGATTCTTGGGCATAAATTCAATTTCGACAATGCCACAAATATTTTCATCCTAGTCACATCAGCTCATCTTGATGCCCTGGAATCTTGTTTCATTCATACAAATGCTGATTATCTTGTTCACGACACTTATTTAACACCACGACGTAATGCATTGTATCTTGATTTTGCCCCTCTCGGCCACAAGGGTTTTTCTTGTTTTGTTTTCCCTTTTTTTTCTTTCGATAATTCTGATTTTTCTAGTTTTGTTTCTTCCCTTTTTTGTTGGCAACTTTACATTTTATAAATCAAATCACTTTTGCTTCTCCTTATTCACGTCTGGCAAGTCGTGAAAATGGGAGCCTATTTTTGAGTGCTTGGAACATGTTGAGTGTTATTCCCAATTTGTATATTAATCAAATGAAGTTTTTAATAAAGTAATATCTTACCGCATCAACTTCTTGCAATTATTTATTTAAGGATTATACATATAAAATTAACAAAATAAGTGGAAACTTTAGGAAATTAATACTACTATTCGTATGAAATTGAAAAAATAAAAGCTAAATTTTAGTTACAGATAAATTTGTAGCAGTCTGGTTAAATGATTTTATCATAATAATTTTTTTTTAAAAAATTCTTAAAAACATGTTTTCTTCACTAGGCAAAATGACTGTTAATTGTTAAAAAAACTTAATTACGATTTATATTTGCAAATAATACACACCATGATTGCTCTCAGTCCACGAGCACCTGTTTTCTTATCCATAGCCAAATTAGCAATAGTTTTCATGGAGTCATCAGTAAATGTCAATTCCACCTTGAAAATTAAGAATAGATATCACATAACAATACAGTAAGTTAGTGTATAATACTACATAAAATTAGAAGTATAGCGAAGAGAAAAAGGTAAAGTACAATTATTTTTATAAAAATCAATCTAATTGTAATTCATGGTTGAAAAGAATGTTTCTCAAAAGCTGGAAAAAGCTAAAAATCTGGAATGAATATTAGTGATAAATAAATTGTTTCATTACCAAAAGACCAAATTGAAAACAAGACAGAACCACATAAGACCCGGTTGGGAAATACTTCATCAAACACTAACATTACATAATGAAAAGAGGGTGGCCAACTTTTTTGAGAGAGGGCCACTTAAGGAGAGAGAAAATAATTATGCATGCTCATCCAACTTGTTCAAAATGCTAATTAAAATTAAGAAAAAATATTATTTATCTAACTTTTTTATTTAAATAGCACTTTTCATGTAAGTCAGAGAAGTGAAAATTTACTAAGTTCTTTATTAAATATAAAAAAAATTACAAATTTATGTTTTATAGTTATACTGAAAATAAATAAAATAAAACATTTAATTATAAATAATTATTTAACAGTCATTAATTGATTAATATGATTAATAAATTTGGTTTTTACCAAATCCTATATAATGGGATTATTAGTTTTTGAAGATGCTTCTAAAATATGTTTTTTGAGAGAGTGCCACATAAGAAGAAAAATAAATTATGTATGCCACATCCAACTTTTTCAACATACTAAATGAAATTAAGAAAAAAATATTTGGATTTTTTTATTCGCATAGCACATATTTTTCACATAAGTCAGAGAAGTGAAATATTAAGAATTACTTTATTAAATGAAACAAAAGTACAAATTTATGTTTTATAGTTATACAAAAAATGAATAAAAATGAAACATTTAATTATAAATATTAAACAGTAATTAATTCATGTGACTATTGAATTTTATTTTTACCAAACCCTTATATAAAAGGATTATTAGGCTTTGAAGATGCTTTCAGAATGTTAATAAATAGCAGCTAATCAAGGGTAATTGTGAGCCAAAAAGAAAAACTCTGGAAATTTTTGGGGCAAACATTTGATATCAATTTATAAAGTATATGGGTTTGATATAATTTTTTGAATTAAGATTTGTATTTAAATTAGCTACCATTGTAGAATATCACACCTTTTTAGTAACTAATTTAAGAAAAAAACTTAGTTACTACAAGAATAGCGATGTTGGATTTTAAAATCGTGTGAATATGAATCGTAATATTGAATTTTAAGAAAGCGAAGACACAAATCGCGATATTGGATTTTTAGATCGCATTAATACAAATCAATGTGTGTGACTTTTAAATCACATATAAATGCGATAATCAAGGCTTGATACTACAAATGCTTGAATATGAATAACATTGGATTTCAAACTCGCGTAAATACGAATCATGATATTGAAGTTTAAAAACATGTGGTTATGAATCACGATATTGATTTTAAAAAAAACATAAATACAAATTGCGATAAATACAAAAGTGGGCGACCTTTGTGCTAAAATACAAACTAAGGCAAAACAACGTTAAAGGGCAACCTTTAACGTTGCCCTTTAACATGAAGGTTGCCCTTTGAGCATCCGAAACAGATGTCTGTATTTTATAAATATTTTTGTGCTCTTTAACGTTGTTTTGCCTTAGTTTGTATTTTAGCACATAGGTCGCCCACTTGTGTATTTAAGAAAGACTTATTTCTAAAAAAAATTAGGAATGCATTTTTAAATTAATGATTTTAAAATTATTAATGATACAAAATTCATCAAAAAATCCATTGTATGAAGAAAGGGATAAAAATAGCAATAAAAGTTGCAATATAGTATTTNTGGTAGAATCACATGAATAAAAACGTTTTGCTAACGCAATTTAGCAAAAGCTTCAAAATTAAAATTAAAGATAGTTTAACTCAGTGAATATTTCGTCGTATTATACGTTTTGATTCACGTAAGTCCTCAAATCAATGGTTTTGAAATAAGTTTAATTCCGAGAAATTCACAGGAAAATCTCATGATCTGCTCCTAATAGTTTCTAGACCTAAAAAGATGATATGAAAAACATGAAATTCCAGAGTATATCCAGAATACAATCACTCCTGGCTAATGATAAGAAAAAAGTTAATAAAATAAAATCATTTTAAACAGGGTACCAGCTAATCTAGGTTTTTCAAATACGACTTTCAATGATTCCTACTGACTTCCGCCAATAAATTTACAATATTGTAATATATTTCCTTAAATAAGTTTTACTTTAAAAATAAAATAAAAAAGGTCTAAGCTAATTTTTTTCAAATTCTTAATTAAAAAAAAAAGATAAGCTTCAAACATTTCACAGAAAAAGAACAAGTTCTTTGAAGTTATTGTATGGATTGCTAAGTAATTAAAATAACGAACATAATGATTTCACAGTATTTAACAAGTTTCAAAATAAATTTAAAAACATAGTTAAAAACAAATAATGAAAACTAAATAACAGTATGGTCAATAATGTTAGATCTTAGACACATCTGAATATACCATATTCAAGAACTAACTCAATTTCGTATAGGATTAATGCAACTAATTGTATGTCATAAATACAGACTAATTTTTTTTTCCTTTTTTTTGTACAAATTGTACAAAAAAATGCAATAGTCATAGGTACGCTGTTAAGTAACTAATTAAATGTGGAAAAATTAAAAGGGTTATTAAGTGTGCAAATTATTTTGAAGAAATGCTGTTAAAGTTCAGAATTTTTTTTTCTATCAATATTATATATACCTGTCAATATAAAATATTCGATATAGTTCTTTTTTATATGCATTACAACTTTTATGAAAATATTCTTTGTGTATAGCTAAAAATAATAAAATCAATTTTACAAAAATTCCACAGTAATGTTCTTCTTAAATATTATTTAATAAACCAACATATCACTACAAAAGGTAAAACAAAAACTTTTAAAACAAAAATACTTAAATAAAACAGCGTAGCATGATATTGGACAAAAATTGCTTCTATTAAACATTTATTTATAAAAAGTTAAAACAATATTTTTTTAAAAAAAGCTCTATGTGTAACTAAAAACTAATCTCAGTGGCGCAACAACCCATAGTGGGCCAAGGTTTACTGTGCCCATCTCAGTTTTCTTGACCTTGGGCTCTGAGGTGCAGAAGCAAATGTTCCGGTCAGGTGGTCAGCCGAACGCGGAACCCCCCAGTGTTTAGTTCCCAAGCATGCTTGGTACTCATTTATTGACCCACTGAAGGGATGGAAGGTTGAGTCAACCTTGCCCGGCCCAAGGATCGAACCCAGGACCTGTGGCATGGGAGCACGAACTGTTACCACTCAGCCACCAGAAGTCTCTATGTGTAACTAAACCACATAATTTATAAGCATGCTGTGAAAGTTACAATTAAATCCAATGAAAAAGATTTATAGAATCTGCAAGTAAAAAAAAAATTTTTTTTTTCAGAAAACATTGCTTAAAGACAAGTATACAAATGGAACCAGTCTTTAAACATAGTTCAATGCATCATAAGCATATTTCAATTCCTGTGAATATAAATCATGTTATGAGATTTACTTTAATGAAAATCTTCTTCAATGGACCAGCTGCAAAATTTATGTAAAAATATCAAGAATAATTTCTTTTTAAAAAAAATTATACAGTAATGTTCTTCTCTAAATATTGTTCAATAAATCAACATATCACAGTAAAAATGAAAAAAAAAGGGGGGTAGCTTACCTTGTCCATAGTAAAAAGCATTTTGAATTGGGGAACTAAAGCATTTTTCGGCTCTGTCAAAATTTGCACCAGCATTTTCTCATCTAAGCTATGAAGTGGGACGACTACAGGAAATCGGCCAACAAATTCTGGTATCATCCCAAATTCAATCAGATCTCTAGATTCAACAAGACGCAGCAATGTATCTTTCTCAGCATTTTCTTCTGCGGCGTTCTCTTTATTTGAATTGTTCGCCAACCCTGCATTATATGCAGCCCTCCTGCCAGGGGATTGAAATGTAGGGGCACCGAATCCTAAGTACTGAAATAAAATGTTTAAAGCTATTAAAGTTTAGAATTGAACACACATTTACGTTTAAAACACATAATTTAATTTTTAGAATTTTAAACAAGTGTTTAAAATTCTATGCTATTCATTATTTTATATACACATTTGTGTTTGAAATAATAGATTAAGAGACATAGAAAAATGTATAAACAGAAGTTCACAAAAATGTCAAAATAAATTTAGCCAATTAAATGCATCTGTATGTATGATCTAATATTTATGTAAATTTAAACGAACTCAAGATAAAAATAATGAATTGTATTTGTAAGTACACAATTTTTGAAAAATATGAAAATAAATAAACCTTCAAAAATTTGAATTTGTCAGTGATCCCAACATAGTAATTCAAAGATTATTATTACAAAAATCTAACATTGTATACAACAAAATTTGCTCAATTAATGTTGGAAAAAAATTTATAGTATAGAGGCTGGATAATAGTGAGTTTACACTGCATTCTTAGAATTTAGATTAAATTTTAAAAAAACTGATGGTAGTTACACACATAGAAAGTCACAGTCTTCCCCGCACAGCAAAACTAGTTACTTAATAGGGATAATGCAGGTTTTGTAGTGGGCCAAAAAAAAATCAAGACAACATTTTTTGGAACAATAAACCAAGCAACTTTTTAAAAAAGGCAACTAAAAAAAAGTATAATTTGCTCTACTTAAGGGTAATAAATAGAAATTTTATCGCAAAAGAATAATGTATTAACGATTTTTAATTTCAGAATTACTTTGCTTAGAACAGAAAGTTTTAACAGTTTCTGGTTTAATTTTACCAATAATGAATAACTCATAATAGTTTGGTTAATGTTGCATTTAATAAAGCAGTAATATTTCCTCATACCAATATATAATTTAAATTTGTAATTGAGTTAAAGACTTTCTTAATCAAGTAATTTTAGCGTAGGGTTTCAAAAATCGCAATAAAAACTAAGTGAATGTATATTCCGCTTAAAATTTTGATATAAAAGTAATTTTAGTGGATGATCCCTCAATTCAACATTTAAAAATTTTATGACACAACTGCTGTATTATTTATTGGAATTGATTTTTTTTTAAATCGCATGAAAGAGGTGAATAGAGACTTGTGAAACAACAAAAGTCTATGCATAGTTAATGCATTTACTTAAAATAATAAGCAAGTGACCTCTGAATTCATCACTATAAAAATTTAATAATATAAAATTGTTAATTAAGTTTCTTTTCATATGAATGACTAAATTCCCAAAAAGGAATTAAACAACGAATCTTGTAAGTTTATAGGCCTGAACCATTTATATAATTAGTAGATGGTTCGGACTATCAAATTTTGTGATTTCTACAAGCATTATTAATTAAATAAAAAAGATGTTGTATAAGATGTTGTATCTTAAAATATTAATACAGATTTATTCATTTATACATTTTTAGGTTACATGAAAAAATTTAACCTACTTTTTCATTTTTTCGTCTGCTCACAATTCGGTCCAAGCCATTAAAAGCTCCAGATGCCACGAACAATATATTTGTAGTATCCACAACCACTGATTCACCTCGCAGCTTTCTAGAATTTCTCTCAGGTACATTAACAAGAGCACCTTCTAACATTTTTAACATACCCTAAAAATAGATCATTTTCTTGTAACTAAAATCTCTTTCTAACTCTCAGTATGTAAACCATAGTCATAATAAACAACAGGATTGTCAAAACAAAAATCACTGTTTTAAAAAAAATCAGATTTTTTTTATTATTTAAATCTTTTTTTTCTTCCACATTTCACATTTCTTTTACCGATCAAAGCTCTGGTAAAACATATACATAATGCTTTATATTGCTTAAAAACAATATTATTCTAGCTAAAATGGTAAACTTAATATTTCTGGCTAAAATGGTTATTATAATTATTACAAACTAATTACTAAATAAATAAAATCATTGTTATTCTCATTCATGCTTAATACCCTCATTGATTCTTTTAAGACAAATTTGTCAGTTATATTACATGAAAAATAAATTAGGTAATATCAAGAAAAATAAAAAAAAATCATTTATCCTAAATTAACCTTTTCAAAACAAATCTTTCCTCATTATTTACGCACACAAACAACATATTTAATAAAGTACCTAGTTGTATTCATATGCTTTTCAGTATTAACCTAAAATTAAATGGATAAAATGGAAATATGTTAATTAAACAGCATATTATTTTGCATACAACTAATGGAAACTCATAATTTAAATGTTTCCCATCAATTTTATCTACATTGTAGTCTTTTGAACATGCATATATTTGAACATGCCGATTTACATACATACCCTTTTCATTAGCTCTACGGATTAAAAAAATCCCAACCTTAAGAATGTATTCATAAATAATTTTGCATAAAAAAATTTAAAAAATTTAGACCATAAATCAATTATTTATTTTTTTTTTAAAAATCAAGTGATTCAAATTAATGATTTAAAAAAATATCAATTAATTTAGACCAATGATTTATTTATTTATTGTTTAAAAAAAAGTAAGAAATTTAAATTGCAATTATAGTCATGATTTAAAACGTACCAATCCTGATATACAAAATAAACCTTTTTACTTAGCAATTTCTCACAAATCATCTAAAAAAAAAATTTTGGTTTTTGTGTCGGATAAGAAAAATATATTTGTAAATACAGAGTCAAGACAAATAACTTGGATAAAGCTTAAAAACAATTATTTTCATTTAACACTGAAAATTTAAAATATTTATGTTAAGTATTGATCCATCCTTAATTACATCCAAGCATGTGTGAAAGTTGATACTGTAAGCTATCATACTACTGCAGTATTCAAGTGATGCAAGGTACATTTTCCTGTCTTTTTTTTTTTTTACAGAACAAGAGTTGGACGGATTATGTTACATATATTTAACAGACTTGATATAAATTGACTGCCTTGATTGTTATAGATTTATTTAAGAGACTAGAATCCAATGCATTTTCTGGTTTAATCTCGCAGACTAAAGTTCACACTAAATCTAAAAAGACTTTAGTATCCTTTTAAAGGTTCTAGTGCAAGTAATAAAACAAAACATGAGTAGGTGAATTTTAACCTATAGCAAAGAAGTTTTTGACACCTTTAAGGTTCTGTGTTAAAGTTCAAGATGGCCACTTTGAAATCTTGTGCAAATGTGTATAATTTGTTTTTAAAATCCTACATCCAGCCTGGGTCAATTGCAGATGTACTGTCTTGTTGTCCAATCGAAAATCAAAAGGGGAAGTATGCCTAATGTCAATATTTTTCAATTTTGTGCACACAAAGAGATGGTGTCCTTTCATGGAAGCTACCTTCAGATATAGGGCTTCGTGAGGCAATTGAGATGCTGCTGGAAGAAATCACAACCTGTCAAGATTCGAAAGCAGGCAACACCGATCTTCCTCGGTAAATTAGGGGCAAAACTGAATTTATTTTGTTTAAGACACTTCCAACTTTTACCAGTAGCTATATTAATCAAGTTGTCTTGGAGTTTTAATCCTGACATGGCTTGGGATTCACTAGATAGCGATCCTTTTTTCCATTTTCAATAAGATTACTAAATAGTTTCTTTACATTTCTACTTCTTCAGAAGAGAAATAATTCCTAATTACATAACTACCAACATTCGGGGAATAAAATAATGGAGAATTTACTAGCAGCATTTTTTAGGCTACAAGTAAAGAGTTTTAATACATCATGCATAATCATGTAAGTCAAAAAGAGAAACTCAAAATTAGAAATAATATAAGCGCTTACATTTAGGGAAGTAAAAAATATGTATATAAATAAAGAAGTTTTTTTTTAAAACTACCGTATTTTTCGGTGGAAGCGCCGCGGCGCTATCGAAAAAAAAGTTGTTTTTTTCCTACATGCGGCGCTTCCGATGCAGCGGTGCTTCCGACGAAATATTTTTTAGTAGCAAAAAAAATTTTCAAGGAAAGTTATTTAAAATGAAATAATTTTCTGAGAGAAAGACTATTAAAAAAAAATTAATAACGAAGTCGATGAAATATTCGCCCGTATCGCGATCTGCTGCAGAACATCGGCAATTGTAATTTGAGCGAACAGAAAAGGAAGTAATAGGACCCTAAATCCGACACTCACGGGACTGACGAAATGCCGATTTTTGGATCTCTTTCGGAAATTCCAATANTTAGTTATTTCGTTATTATTAGCTGTTTCGTTATTATGTATTAGTTTTTCCTCAAATTGTTAACGGTAATAAATTTTAAAATCTTTTTATTTTAAAATCTTTCATATAATAAATTTTTATTTTACTTTTCTTATTACATTGTTTTACTGATTTCTGTAATCAGTTCAGCGTAGCTACTGCACATATAAATAATTTTTTTGCTGCTCTTCTGCTTTTTGGAGCAGTGCCAACTGGTAAGAACAACTTTATTTTATATCGTTTTGTTGTTTTCTTTTTTTTTTGGCTGAGAAAGAAATTTTTTATTATAATTTAGAAATTAAAACTTTACTTTATGAAATGCATACAAAAATTTAATTTTTTATTATACAGATATTCTAAATGGTAATTTAAAGGTCTCTTCTAAAAGGATGCTGATATGCCCGGTTTAGCGACATTGCGGCGCTTACAATAACTTTTTTTTTAAAAATTTCAATTTTATCGATGTGCGGCGCTTGCGACGAAGCGCCGCTTTCGCCGAAAAATACGGTATTTGTATTATAACTTAAACTATTAACACTCAACATCAGTACTGGCAATAGCACTATCTGTTGAGGATTAAGAAGTATTATAGCCATCATCGGATATTTTATCGCTAATTTTTTTTAATTCCTTTATTTCTTCAACAAATACGGAGAAATTTTAGAATATAAAGGTAAACATGAGAAAGTCGTAAAATACAGGAGTCTTCGTTAAAAAACAGTAAACTTGGCAAGTACGTAATTACTATGGCCTAAATATGTACAGGTTAAATCATAAACAAATCTCATACATTTTACACTAAGTATAAATAAAAAGCAATAAACAGTAACCTATTTTGAAGCATTTTCCAGTAAATTTTTTTGAATATTAGAACTTTTAATTTTGAATTTGCTTACATTGGATTTCCTTAGTTCCCACTTATTGTAAATCAGATTAAATACAAAAATTTTACAATTAAATACATACTATTAAAAATATATATATAATATTATATTTAATAAATTGTATCACATACTATTTAAAAAAAACATCAACAAACCTGCTGGACGCCCTCACCACCGACATCACGTAGTTGATGAATTCCAGGAACTGCTCCAATCTTATCCACCTCATCCAGAAATACAATTCCTGAAAAATATAATTAAATCAAATAAAAAAGATAAATCTCCAATAGCACTAAATTACTTGAAACTTAAAAGTCAAATCTACGCAAACAGAACTAAACTATCTAAACTAAACAAAGTTAATAGGGTCAAACAAAACCCATGGTCCATGTAATATCTAATAATAATAATCCAATCTATGCCATTAAAGAAAAAGAGTACCCCTTAATTAAAATTATAGCTATAAACCATATCTAAGTCAGGTAATTATATCATTAGAAGTGTTATTAAACAATACAAATGCCAGAAAAAATTTTATACAAAACTATACTCAGTGGCACGACAGCCCATAGAGGACCAAGACCTACTATACCCATCTCAGTTTCCTTGACCTTTGGGCTCCAGGGTGCAAGAGCAGATGCTCCGGTTGGGTGGTCAGCCCAACACCTAACCCCCAGTGTTTGGTTCCCAAGCACGCTTGATATTCATTTTATTGACCCACTACAGGGATGAAAGGTTGAGTCAACCTTGCCCGGCCTAAGGATCGTACCAAGGACCTCTGGCGCGACGTGAGGCACTGCCACTCAGCCACCGGGCGTTGATAAAATTTTAAAGTACATCCATAATATCTAACAATTACAATTAATAAAATTAATTATTACTTTTGTTAATTGGAAACTTAATCTTTGAAACCCATTAAAAAACATGAAAGAAATCATTGTTATAAATCTGTTTTATTTATTCAAAACTACTAAGAACTTTAATATAAAGATTTAATGATATTATTTGAATTTATGAAATATGATCTATTATATGTGATCTATTATGTGTATAATTTATAACTTATTATGGTTTTTGACTAATACTAAAAAATATTAGTAAAAAGTATGTTCACATAGTTATCATTTAAATGCAATGAGTACAGAATGATAAAAAGTAAATATTTCAAACACTTTAATGCACTTTTGAACTATTTTCAACAGATTTTTAGACAGTTTTGGACAGTGTCTTGTTCAAAAGATTATCCTGAAAGGCCTACCCTGATTTGTTTACTAGCAAATTCCAAAAAAAAAAATAAAAAAATAGTCTTACCCTGTTGAGCTTTTTCAATGTTGTAATTAGCATCTTGAAGTAGTTTAGCAATAACAGATTCTATGTCTTCACCCACATAACCAGCTTGAGTCAATGTTGTACAGTCACAAATTGCAAATGGTACATCTAAACATCTTGCAATAGTCTGAGCAATCAAGGTCTTTCCTAAATACATGAAACAATCACTTTGGTGGGAATGCAATAGATTAAAAGTAAAAAACTTGAGGTCCATTTCTGAAAATTTTATTAAGTATTTATGCCTATCCCTGCAAAAGGCATAAGGCCTATCCCTGCAATAAGCATTTATGCCTATCCCTTTGAAACCAATTAAATTTCTTAAAAGTCAATTTTTATAATTATTTGTTATATTTTGTTAAATTATTTATTTTTAATGAAGTTATATTATAAATTATTTGCCATAGTTTTTTTGCAGCGCCCCATATTCATTACAGACTAAAATAGACAAAATAGTAAGAGCATGTCGGAGACTTCATAAAAAGCTATTCGAAATTTTTTTTTAAAAAAGAGCAAGAATCGGGCACAAAAAAAAGGAATACTGATGCTAAATGTTCTAAAACTAAATCATTAAGTATTGCAGGCAATGAATAAGCTTATCACTTTGTACTCTTCATAATAAACACATTACTTGAGTCTCAGGTTACAAGAGTAAAACTATTTTTGCCTATCTCAAGTTTTAAAATTATGAGCATTGGAACAGAGAACATCACAATTCGCATCTTTGAACTTATTACTTCATGCCAAGGGTAAAATATTACGTTTATCTAGTTTTAAATAATGTACATTGGAATAACAGGGCTTATCAACTCTTACTCCTTGAAAATAAACACATTACCTGATCCTGTAGGTCCCAAGAGTAAAATATTGCTTTTTTCTAGTCTTAAATCATGGGTACTGTTATCTAGTATATCAGAGCCACGATTAACCTTTATTTCAGACTCTTGAACCATCTGTTGCTGTTGCTGAAAGCTGACACCAAGTGCACTTTGAGGTATTCCAGATAAATGCAACAAATCAGCTACATGAAAAAATAATGACATGAGCATTTACAATACTAAAAAGATACAGTGCACAGAAGAAAAAAAACCTGAAAAACTTATCATACTAGGATTTAATCTTAATTGTTTGAGGGAGGACCTCAAATATGCAAATTGCATTTACTAAGTGCAGACGATATTTTAAGTTACGAAGTTATACACAAAAACATTATTTCTCTAAATAAATATGCCTTTTTTCGGTGAATTATGATACGAGATCCCCAAAATATAAGCCGCAATCAGGGAAATAGGATCCTAATAGTTTGGGTTAGGAGAGCAGTTGAAAATTTAAACCCCTTAATGTTAATTTTAATGCTAATTGAAAACTTTTTGCACACAATTATAAAATTCATTGCTCTATATTGGATACCCGGTTAACTACCCAGACTAGCTGGTAACCATCGATCTAGAGGTGGGGTGACTTGAGATGTCCCAGGGACGGAACCCACTATCAATTTGAATATATTAAAAAGTAAAAAGAGCAGTTTTAATAACAGAGTTAACAAATTAATAAGAATATATTTGTGTATTATTCACACTAATTAAAATAAAATTCAATATGGCAAACTAAAATATTATATGGTAATGTTTTCATACAATGTATTCTAACTATCCTCACTAAAAATTTAAAATTGAAATTGCACTATTAAACATTATTTAGGTGACATGTTTACAAATTGTATTAAAGATGACTAATCAAATAAGTCGTTTGAACATAGTTAATTATTTCTTTAACCTAAGAGCAAACTATACAACAAAAGGAAGCCTTATTTCCCGAGTGTAATTTAAGAATTTGTTTCAATTTGAAATGAAAACATAATAGAACAAACAAGAAAGTACTCATTTAAAATTTGAGGTCATACCTAGTTGCTAACTAGGCTGAAAGTTGCAAAAGTAACAAGATAATATTTTAAAATAAAAAGGTTCAATATTTTAAGTAAAAGAAAAACTGTACCAGAATTTTTTGGAAACAATAATCAATTCGTCCTTAAAATTGGTCAACAAGATCTGGTCAAAAATAGAACATACAATTTGATATACTGAAGACTTATGAATTTCACTTCATATGCTTGCAAATGTCGGATATTGTTAAACAGACTAACCAACCACTATGCGGTTGCAAAAAAGGGTAGAGCAAGTGCAAATCCTTGGGCAGTTGATCCGCCTACAAAAACTTTCCGATTTGCTGTTTCACTCTGCCCTCATCCTGCACCTAGTCATCATTTCACGATTCCACATTGCCCTCGCTGACAGTATAACTATGCTCTGAATCTATGACATTAGCATTAATTGAAGTACAAATAAAAAAGCAAAAACTAAGCACAAACTTGCAGCCTTGCTGCTCCTTAAAGTATCATATAAAAATGCAGCTTGCTGTGATAAAAATAACAACCAAAAATTGCTATCATTAATCAAAGATAGTCACAAATAGCTAAAAAAAATTTTTTAATTATATATTATAAATTTTATAATATATTATAATAAATTATTAATTTAATTATAACTAAGTATATACATTATAACCATAAAATAGTAAAAGACAAAAAAAAATGAAAATATATTTAATTAATGATATTTAACACTAATAAACAGAAAGATAAAAACAAAAACTCATAATTAAAAGCAAAAGAATAAAACAAGAAAAAACAAATTGCATTAAAGTATTTTAAAAAATTCTTGAGTGAAAAATATCATTATTTTTAAAAAAGATTAACCTTCCCCGAGTTACTGAAGAAATATTAACATATATTAGCAATTGGAAAGTCTTTCTTCAATGATAGAGTTGCTTCATTGAAGTCTTTTTTCAAATAAAAATCATGCTTTAACTTTCAGTTAGAAAAAAATCATTTAAAAAATAACAAAATAACTGTGTATTTAATGTTTTTTTTTTCTATATGTATTATCTGTCCTAATTTATACAGGTTTCATGTTTATATCAATAATAGATTTTTAGATGCTAAATATTTTAAAATTTTACCAAAAATTAAAAAATTTCCCTTAAAAAAAAAAAGAAAGCTTTATTTTGTAAGGAAAAAGTGCAAACTTTAAAATGGAAATTCTAGGATGCCTAGTTTGAAAGTGATGGAGTTTGATGTACAGAAATATTGTAAAAATCTTAATTAAAAAACTAATCAAAAAGTAGAAAGTAGCCTCCAGTAATATCTCATTCGGTCACCAACTACTTCCGTGTTGTGTTTCGTATCAGCAAAATAAACTTTGCCCTCAAAACACTCTAAATATACATATAGACACACAAAAACAGATATACTGACATCTTACTTCATTATGTTAACAGATTAATAAAATATATACAAATAATAAAAACGCACTGAGTATGCTTTCTTATACTTATAATATGAAAAGGAATTTTTTTATGCCGAAATTCCCCTTTTAAGGGAATATAAAAGTTTTTAGCAACAATTGATTAATAGAAGAAAAAATTTCATTAAAGCAAATTTTATTATTAAAAATATTTAATACAGGGTATTTGCTACATTTTAGATTTTTAAATTCATGAGTTTCCATGACTAATTCCAAGAATTTTTCATGACTTAACTAAGTTANATTAGCAATTGGAAAGTCTTTTTTCAATGATAGAGTTGCTTCATTGAAGTCTTTCTTCAAATAAAAATCATGCTTTAAATTTTAGTTTGAAAATAAAAATCATTTAAAAAATAACAAAATAATTGTGAAATTAATGTTTTTTTCTATATGTATTATCTGTCCTAATTTATACAAGTTTCATGTTTATATCAATAATAGATCTTTAGAAGTTAAATATTTTAACAAAAATTAAAAAATTTCCCTAATTAAAAAATTAAAAAAAGAAAAAAAGGAAGAAAAAAAAAAGAAAGCTTTAGTTTGTAAGGAAAAAGTGCAAACTTTAAAATGGAAATTCTAGGATGCTTAGTTTGAAAGTGATGGAGTTTGATGTACACAAATATTTCAAAAATCTTAATCAAAAAACTAATCAAAAAGTAGAAAGTAGTCTGCAGTAACATCTCATCTGGTCACCAACTACTTCCGTGTTGTGTTTTGTATCACCAAAATAAACTTTGCCCTCAAAACACTCTAAATATACATATAGACACACAAAAACAGATATACTGACATCTTATTTCATTATGTCAACAGATTAATAAAATATATACAAATAATAAAAACGCACTGAGTATGCTTTCTTATACTTATAATATGAAAAGGAATTTTTTTATGCCGAAATTCCCCTTTTAAGGGAATATAAAAGTTTTTAGCAACAATTGATTAATAGAAGAAAAAATTTCATTAAAGCAAATTTTATTATTAAAAATATTTAATACAGGGTATTTGCTACATTTTAGATTTTTAAATTCATGAGTTTCCATGACTAATTCCAAGAATTTTTCATGACTTAACTAAGTTACTATTTGCTCCGACAAAAACGCAACAATAAATTTAAAAAAGCATTATAATAACATTAATTGAAATGATAGGTATAACCAAAACTGTCATACTCTGCATCTTCATATTTATAGATTTTAAATTTAAAAAACAGAGTAAAGAAAGAGTTGAAGCAATAAAATAGCTGAAAAAAATACAAAAGCAATTTTTTTTTCTTTTTTTTTTGCAGAATTATATTCTACAGATATTTTTCTTGTTCATCGGAAAGGAAAGAAATACTCCTGATTTTTCTGTTCTCATTTCTGAATTTTAAAAAAAAATCGACAATCACTGGCTTGCTCCAATTAGAGTTTGAATTTGATAAAGTAAAAAAAAAAAAATTAAGAACAAAAATTCTGAAATCACAGAAGTTTAAAAGATAATTCGCTCTAGAAATGATGTTTCTTCTTTCATTTTTTGAAAAGAACACTGTGGTTTTTAAAGAACATGATAAAAACAATTTACATTTAAATTAAATATGAGTGTGAGTGGGAATTTTGTTACAAATTCAGATATTTGGAACACCATGAAATGGGGGGGGGATTCCATTTTAAAAATTATAGATTTTTCGGCGACCTAAATCCATGACTTTCCATGATTTTTTTCAAAAAAATAGTTAAAATCATGACATTTCATGACAAATTTTGTTCAATTACGAAATTCCTGACTTTCCATGATTTCTCATGACTTTCCAGGTACGCAGATATCCTGTTAATAACATGTTAAGTATACTTTTTTTTTTCATATTAAATTTTTCTAACTGAAAAAAATAGTAATAATAATAATTACTTTTTTAAAAAAAGGAGAAAAATTAAGAAGATGATGGGTAAAAATTGGAAATTCAATTCAAATTCAAGAAAATTTTTTAAGAGCTGCTTAAACAAGAGAAGGGAAGAAACAAAAGAATTTTATTTAAGTGCTTTTAATGTATCCTTTCCATACATACAAATCTTCAATAAATCTAAAATTTTGTACCATGCATTTTTAAAAAGAAAGTAATCAAAATAGATTAAGATATTAACTGAATAAAAGTGAACATATAGGAAATGTGATCATTAAATAACAATAGATCTTAATTAAATGACTATTATATTCAAGAATGAAAGAAAGATTCCAAAGTAAAACAAAAGAGACTGAAAAAACTAATATATAAACCAATGACGGACTTATTCCAGTTTTTATTAAATATTTTTTTATACTAAGCATAAGGGTTGCCCAAATGAAAAGTGAACATGTGCAATAAAAATCTAGCGATAGCAATGCCATAATTCAGAGTTATAAATAAAGTTTGGAGGAATGCATCGCAGATTTTACGTTACTAATTTACCAATTGATGTGAGAGCATTTAAAGTAAAAGTGAAGTTGAGCAAAAGATGGATGTATCCAGAACAAAATGAGCCACAACATTTTCGAAGTGCAAAAGTTTAGCATAGTGTGCGCAATTATTATAAACTGGTGAGTGTTTTAAGATAAACATGGATACTGTCTAACACAAATGATTTGTGAAGAGCAGGCATCAACACTGGATTTGACGAGCCAATTTGCACTATCTCCAGTGAATCCATTGTTGCAGTCTATGAGAAAATTATAGATATTTCAGGAATCACAACTAAAGATTCTTTCTATCGGAGTAAAGGAACACTGAAAATAAATTCTGCTGGTAAAGACAGCACTACAATGCCTTTTTCTTTCTGGACTTTCTTTTTCTTTTACATTAACTTCAAATGCTCTCATATGAAGTGATAAATCAGTTGTTATATACATGGGTTTACTAATCCAATGAATATACACCCCTTTAAAAATAATGCACATACTAGCTCTTAAAAATTGGCTAGTATTTTTAACCCAAGTTACATGTAATTATTATATGATGTACTCCTCACAACTCTCTACATAAACTAGAATAGAATTGCTATTGCTGCTGTATATTTTACAACTATTTTGTCACCTGTCCACTTTTCTTTTGGGGAACCCTTATTAATTAGATGTTTGAAATTTATCCAAACAATTTTTGTATAATTACTTAATTAAGAACAAATTATTCACCCCCTATATTTTCAGCTCTTCTGTTTTCATCTCTAGAACTAACCATTCTCCTACTCATACGCCAGGGTTGAGTTGTAGGATACGTATTCATTTCTGAAGCCATATAAATGTCTAGAAAAATAAGTAAGAAAATCTAGAAAAATCTGAAAGTGTACACAATTTTGGAGATTTTTTTAAATAATCAATGAAAGTGCCTCACTTAACTTTACAAAACTTGAGAACTTGGTAGATGACTGCATGCAATGCAAAAAACTTTAAAAAAAAGAACAATTTAACTCAAACAGTACAATATCTCTCTTAAGAAATATTATTTTTATTGCAGAAGAAAACAAAACATATAAATATCAAATTCAATTTTAAAGAGAAATAAATACTGGATTTCAGAAATAATAAATATAATACATCCTTATGAAAATAAGCACCTTGAAGCACCATTTTAAAAGCGCTGTGCACCTTTTGTTCACATTCTTTTAGTGGGCCAAAGAAAAAATTAGAATATTTTTAAAAAAGAGCTAGGAATTTTTTAGAATAGCATACATATACCAGACAGCATAATAAAAAGGGTAAATGACAAACTAAAAAACACTACAGTTTGCTCTACTAAAGTATTATTAATGACAAATTTTATAGTAAAGGAATAATAATATATGCTATTTTTAATTTTAGAATGATTTTGTTTAAAACAGAAAGTTTTCACTTAGTGTTGCTAATAAAATTTTGATTCCTGAACAACTCAAAATAGTTTGTGATAAATATATAGAAAATTTTTATAGTACTAGTGCATTAAAAAAAGCAGTATCAATTACTTAATAATCCCTCACACGTAGGGGTGCACAACCTTTTTGAGTGAAGGGCCACTTGCACAGCAGGTTGGCTAACAAAGGACCGCACATGTATTTAGACATGTTAATGACAAATGTAGTAATGTTTATTTATACATTAGCGTTCCATTTTTTTTATCAATAAACTTAGTAATATCAATAACTAAATAGTGCTCCATTATTAGAATTCATTCAAAAATAAAAAAAACTTATACTTTTTTTTTCACAAAAAAAAAACTTGCAATTTTTATCATATGAACAATAGATTTATCAAAATAAATAAACATTGAAGAAAAGAAATGTTTTTTTTTACCATATCATGCAATACGAAAATTCATTTTAGAATTCTAATAAATTACAAAAAAACTGCAATGCCCACAGAAAGAAAGTAGGAAAAAGTTTAGTCATAATTAAGTAATATAAATTCAAATTAAACATTTTAATTTAAGAAAATTGATAGGTTTTAAACAAAAGCCTAAAATAAAAACAAAACTGTGATAGTTCAAAATAAAATTCAATAAGTTTGTAATGTACTTTATTATTTTATTTTATTAATTATTATATTTTCTTATATCGTAAACATTTTCCTTTTTTTTTATCGAAAAAGATCACTTAAGAAACAAAAAATTGAAATCTAAACTACAAACAGTGAGTAGTTTACAAATTCACGTTTTCTGCCATTTTATGAATTTCTCAAGTTGCAATAACATTGCATTTAAATTAGGGAGGGGTGTAACGAGCATTTGGCCCTTTTGTGAAAAATTCAGTTGATTGAATGATCAGTCAAATATTCGGCAAAATATTTTTTAAAAATGTATTTCTCCAAGTTTTTTTTATTTTTGAATTTTTATAGTTATTACGTTCTTTTTTTTAAAATTGTAATCAGACAAGTCAATTTTGTCATTTTTTCGATACTTTGAGAATTGAGAAGGATTTTCTTCCATTTTTTGCTGTTTTTATTATAACCCAGCATTTTAACAGAACGTCTCATACTATTAATTTATTATCACTCTTTCCCTGTACTGTAATATAAATAACCAGTAACATAGACAAGTGTGCTTTTCAGTACTAAAGTTTTGTTTCAGGAACTAAGAAATATTTGTTTTTTCTGTTTTTCTCTTTTTAGGCATTTTTATTATGACTCAGCATTTTTTTTAAAAATAAAGTTACTAATAAAATTTATTTTATAGCAATATTTTTTCCTCTAAAATTATGGCAATGAGAAAAATTTAAATTGAGATTTTCAGCATAAGATTTTCATTTAAAAAAATAACGTTTTTTCTATCTTTTTATTTTTTTTAAATAAAAAAAAAACTTTTTTTAGACGTTTTCATTATAACTCAGTAATTTTTAATAGCATTTCTGTTGACTTAATTCTTTTTTCTTGGCTTTTTCTGGTAATTGAAAAACTGAGATGTTCAGCTTTAAAAAAAATTTTCAAAAATTAAGATTGATTTTTATGTTCTCTGTTTCGCTTTTCGACATTTTCAAAAACGTTCTTGATTGGCCTTATTTTTTAGAGTTAATTTATGAATACGTTTTTCCAGGAAATATTATTCTGAGCATTGAAATTTTAGTTTCAGTGTTGCTATACTGCTAAAAGATTTTGCTATTTGGCCCCAAGTGAACGGCGTTCAATAGATTTTTTCTTCTTTTTTTTGCCGAATATTTGGTTTTTGATCAAATCACAATTCATTACCACATTCAACCAAATCATATTCGTTGCGGAAATAAAAAAAAACGAAGAAAATATAACTAGGATTTACTATAAAACTGTACCGTATCAAAAAGGGATTATTTAACTGCGTGATTAACAATCACGTGTCGTAATAACATCATAGTTAAATAACGGGATCATCAATATCATGTGGAAAAGTATAGAAATATTGGGAAAAAATATATTTATGCTGAACTCAGCACGAATAAAGCGTGTCCAATGCATGATTTAAAATTTGCAGGTCGTAATAGAATAATTGGAATTCTTTATAATAGGTGGGAACGCATAGCAATAACTGCCGAAAAAAATTGTTGAAAAAAAAAAACAAAGTGCAAAAAAGATAAAAAATCACTTAGATTTAAGATGAAATCGTCACAAATAAAGTGCACAAAAAGTGGTTATTTAAATTTGCGATCTGAAACTCGTGTTTTAATAAAAATTCGGGATTTTCGAAATCCCGTAGAAAAGCGGAAATAACTGTTTAAAAAAATTATTTATATTCACTTAATCAACAAAAAATCACTTGGCTTAAAGAAAGTTAGCTTAGAAGCACGTTAGAAAGTTGGCTATAGAAGAAAGTTGACTAAAGAAGTTGGCTTAAAGAAAGCACGTTAAACGTACATTTACTAAAGAATCTGTTAAAATTGATTGTGTCAAAACGTGATGACTAAAAAGTGCGATTAAAAATTGCCATTTTGTAAAAAAATTTTATTGTGTTTAGAAGCTCTCGAGGGCCGCACTTCAGTAGTCGAAGGGCCGCAGGTTGTGCACCCCTACCTCACAGCAATATTTAATTGAAATTTCAACATTGTTCAATATTTCCATAATCAAATAATTTTAAAGTAGACTTTCAATAATCTTAAAACAAAAACACAGTGAATATGCCACTTACTGTTTTTCAACAAAAGTGGTTTCAATTCTCAATTTAAAAATTTAGGATATGAATACTATATTATTGATAAGAATCAACAAAAAAACTCCAACCTACAGGATTTGCTACTGCATTTGCTGAAAATAACAAATAAGCACATGACAACTGTATTCATCACCATAAAATTCTGATAATTTATTTTATGATTTGAGTTTCTTTTTCATACAATAATTGAATTCCTAAAAAATTTGAAACAATGAGTCCAGAAAGTTAGGGTAATATGTCTGATCCATTATTATCAATTGATGATCGAAATTATTAATTGAGTCGCGTTCTCATAAAATGACAGCATTCCTAAAAAGTTTGAAACTACTAATGCTGTACGTAAAGTTATATACTTGATTCATGCCTAAGATTGATGGACAGTTCATAAGTTTGAACTGTCGAACTTTGTACAGTTAACTAGTGATATGTGATTCTTAAAAGCATTATAAATTAATATACAAAACTTTTGATTCTTTACATGTATTATTTTTAAATCCACATTTATAGTATACTCTTGATATCTCTAAATTGAAGGGATTCTAAAAAAAATTGGAGATAGCTAGTTTTTGAGATAACATTCAGAACTAAATATGTTCTAAAAAGTAGAAAATATATTCTAAAATATTACTCTAAAATGTTGAGTCTTGAAACATAAGAATAGCTATTATTAAATATGTATGTAATGATAGTTGACTATAAGTGTAAATACAACAATGGTAATTTTATTTTTAAACGTAAGACAAAAATAATTATGAATTAACTAGAAAAAAAATCGGTTTACAATAAACTTACTTTGTAATTTTTACGAGAAAATTCAATTTCTATTTTGAAAAAAATTTGACAGTACAAGGTTTTGAGAAGAAACTCTTCAACATAGTCATTCAAATTAACATTCGGTGGATATATAATGCCAAGGGGAAAAATATTTTTTTTGACATAACAAGGTTTTCAAGATATCAAAGAGTCCACTGTTTTTAAAAAAAAAAAAGAAAAAAGGATGATCTGAACACACACAAATTGGGAATATCGGGAAAAAAAGTTAAAAATTAGGACAAATTAGGGCGAAATACTTTTCAATAAAGAAAATAGAGACAATCTAAACGACTATGAGCCCTGTATTCTCTTTTATAATTCAAACCTATCTTATTAGAAATCACAACTCAAAACTAAGCAACTTTATAATGATTTACATTGAGTTTAATATGTAGTAATATGATTTTTTAACTATTAGAACTTGCATTTTTTCAATTAAGAACATAATTGAGGAATTAGCTTTTATAATCACTTACAAAGTAAAATAAAATAAAAATAATAGTAAACTATCTGCACACACAATTTAAAGTAGCTGCTAACTCACAATATTCCTTGAAAATTAAATTTAAAAAAAAAAAACAGCAAAACATTACACATTTTTCTAACATTTCCATAAATTTTTTAATAAAATTCATATTCTAGTATATAAATTTATTTATTTTTTTCAAAAAATATCTCTTCTAGGAATATCTGCTCCTAGAGATGCTATTTTTTTTTCACAAAAGCACATTTTTTTTTTTCAAAATAAAAAATTTTTTTTAATAAACTATCTGAAAAAGTATCCAAGCACAGTTTGCATATATGTGTCAATGTATTATTATCAAATAATTTTTTCACTTTCTTACAGATCCCATGGTTATTCCTTGAACAATTCTGACCAAAAGCAGCTCCTTCACTTTTTTAATGCTCTATCTGTTTTACTTTCTCTAAGTCAATTATTTTTCCAGTTTTTTATAAATTGCAGAAAAATTGTAATAAAAAACAACTCTCGAAATTTGTACTAGCCCAGCCTTTTTTAATCATCAAAAATTGTTTCTTAATATTTTCACTTAGTCTATCTTTTTTATTTAAAATTCTTTAAAGAAAAACACGAAAAATCTTAAAAATCACAAAAAGTCAATTATTTTTTCTAATTTTTCAGATTCTTATAATCTCTTTAAAAGCTGCTAATAATTTTATTTCATCATCCATTCATTCCACAAGGCCTGTGCAAAAGACTTCAAATTATTAGCCAGTAAATTAGGCAAATATCAAAAGTATTACCCAAAGGCAAATCTGAACAATTTTTTTTAATTGATTTTTTTTTCCGTCGAAAACAAAAAATTTGTTGTTATTTTATAAAATATAAATTCAAATCAAGAGTCATTTTAAAGTTGGGGAGGAGTAAATGAGCAATGAATGAGGAGAGGATGAAAAATGCATACATTGTTTTATCTTCTTAGAGGAAAAAAAATTCTAGCAACAATTTTATCTTGACCACAGTTGGGCTCAAAATTGACTCAATATGAGTCCTATATGAACATGCACAGAGGGACCAGCAATGGAATGTCTAGATTTTTTAATATTGGTCCTATATAGGGCTAATATAAGACTATATACACCCAATATAGGACCAACAATGGCTGAATAATTAATATAAAATACCGGATGAATTTCACCAAATTCACGATTCTATCACATTTGGTGGGGGGACCAATGCTTACTGCAGGCCCTGATTCCACATTTTTGCCAGAAACTATTTTTATCTTTAACCTTTTCGTCTTCCCCATTCAAAATTATCAACCTTGATTATATGTATACTAGAAATGTAGTGGCTTAGGGGATGGAGCACTCACCTTCCAATGAGGTGAACCGGGTTCGAATCCCAGTGATAGTTGATTCGAATTCCACACCCGACTCACATTGACCACAGTGCTGACGTAAAATATCCTCAGTGGTAGACGGATCATGGGTTAGAGACCCCTTGCCGTCAGGCTAACTGTACGAGGTTTTCCTCTCCATGTAACGTAATTGCGGGTTAGCTCCACCAAAAAGTCTTCCACAAGGGCTTATTTCTCCCAATACTTGATCCAGGAGTTCCCTTGTCTTCTGGATTGGGTTCAAAATTATAAGACTACAGAGTTGAACATTGGTAGTTGTAAACCCTAAATTGTGTCAGCCGCTCAACAAGAGTTATAAAATTGCAATATATGTGTATACTAGAATTAAATTTTACATTAAAAACTCTTACTTATTATAAGTCAACATTATATTTGCAATCAAGGATCCTAAAAATTGATAGTGAATTCTATTTAATGCTAATTGTTTTTAATATAATATGGCAATAGTTGATAAATTATTGTTAATTTGATTCCTTTACGGCTATACTGAATTAACCATACTGAGTTTTGTAAACCTGGATGAAAGCAGTTTTATGTGTTTACCTCGAGGCTGAGTTTCAACTATAGTTTCTTGTCTATTGGAATGTGGCACATTATTGAAAATTCTCTTGTAGTGATTGTACACAGCAACAGCAAGAACTTTCTTGGCATACTGTTGTCCTACCACATGCTTCTCAATGTATTCAAAAATCTATAAAATATTCATAAAGAATTATACAAATTTTGGAAAAGTGTAAAAATGTGTGAAAACACATTTAAATAGTAAAACATTCATTTTTATTAAAACATTTCATTATCAGGGTTAGGTTTTTGACAACAAAAACCAGTTTCTTGATGTAGCATGTGTTTCAACCATGCTTCAACTGGATTAAACAGTCAAAAACCCAACATTTTAGGTATGTTATTTTTGACACAGAATACAATTAATAGTATACCTCAAAATATAATAAAAAGTTCTTAAAATTATTTCAGTATTATAAACAGGATTTTTTAATTTACTTGTATATTAAACAATTGTATTTGTATAATACCATAACGCAGGTGGAGTAATAACTGTTTAGTACCATATTGAATCTTTTGATTTGAATTTAAAAACCAAGAAAGTTTCTATCATATTTTTAAGTTAAGTTATTTACATTAAATAAATGATCATTCATCAGCATTATGACAAAAACTGCTATAAAACAAATAATCTCTTACTAGTCATGATCAAAACTACCAAGCAACATTAGATAACATAGCTACTTTTAACCTTTACCAATAACTAATTTTGAATGTATATGTTTAATAAGACAGTGAAGATGATAATTCCTGAGCTTCCGATTCAATTAAAATTGGCAAAGACCAAGGATAGTTTTGCATTGCCTATTCCCGAGTAGATTCTACTTGTAGAGTTTTTAATCCTTCAAGGTATTTTGGAAAGGATGAATAAGGTATGCAAAAAATGGAAAGGTTCCAAAGTCTGCACTATTCTTTTTTCTACAATATTAGAATATGGTTGAAGAAAATTTTCTTTTGTAAGTCCCAACAAAATCGAACACGCATCAGCTAATGTTCTATCGTCTCTCTGTCCTTTTTTTTTTATTATTAAAAACCAGTTACGGAAATTATATTAAATTAATGAAAGTGAAATTATGGAAATCAACAAAAAAAACTTAAAGGAAGTACAATTTTAGATTTTATCTATAAAAATACATGTTCTGTCGAACTGTTACATAAATAGCTTATAAATTTTAGTTATATATATATAGATATATATATATATATATTTATATATATGATTAGTAATTTTGTATCATTTTCATTTGATTTGCTATNATATATATATATATATATATATAATAAATATATCTAATTACATAAAATGTAATAAAAATTAAAAAAAAAGAAAGAAGAAGTTATCAGAAATTTGGTTAAGCTTACAATATAATCGCAACTTTATCCGTTGAAAGTCTTTCAACAATAGGGCACAGAATTCCAAAAAAATATTGTCCTAACACACTTTTAAAGATGCAAGTAGTGAGAGCTGTGCACAAGAGGCATTAAAAATATTTATCTAATTTATAATGAATTTTATAAATTTAATTCAAGGATAACTGATGATATCAGATTTGATATGTAAATTCATTATATCAATTATACATATAAAAAACATTAAAATACTGCAATAAACTGTTCAAGCAGATCCCACACATATTATAGAAAAAAGATATGTTGGATTTTGACTTGCTTTGTTGATTTTCCTACCAGAGGGTGGTATTAAAAGCAAGCAAAACTAGTTTAATACAACACAATAAATATTTTTTCCTATTAAATAATCATTAAATTTCATGTACATATGGCATACATCATACATATATTTGTAATAGAAGTAATTTTTCACGTAACAATTAAAAAAGTACGACTTTACACAGAGTCAAGGAATAAAATATACTCCCCCTTTTTCTTATACATAATATTATCATGCATTTTAGGCAATATATATTAAAACTCAAAACGAAAAATCACTTTTTTTTATATAGTATCATCAAATAAACAATATCTCAAACTACTCCATTTCCGAAGTCTGTAAAAAATTCACCCAACTATTGAGACAAGTAATTTTATCTTTAAATAATGGTTGTAATGTGTACTACAGGGTATTCAAGTTAGATGTACTGTAATATTAGATTTGTAACTGCTCCTTACGGAAAAGTACCCGAAAGAAAAAAGAATGAGATAAAATAGTTAACCTTCTCATGTTAAAAATAATGAATCATGACTAAAAATAAAAAATAAACATTAGAAATTATGCATGAAAAATTATGAATCAATAATGATTATGTAATTGTATGAAAATGATATTTCTCTATAAAAACAAATAAAATTCTGGAAAAAAAACTAATTTCATGAATGTGTATTTTAAAATATTTATTTAGTGTATTTTAAAATAAGCAAAGCCCAAAATAAAAATATTACAAATTGATCTGAGTGTCTTCTAATCAGATTTTCATGTATTAAGATGGAATCTTTATATTCTGCAGTAAAAATCTAAGTTACCTTTGTTCTAAAAAATATCAACATATTTCAAGTGTGCTGTTCTAACACATTAAAACTCCATTTCACTGCTTGAATTTCTGATCATATTTATATAATTGTTAACAGTACTACCACATACATGTAAAAGTTTTAAAAAAATTAACCAATACTCATAAATGTATAAAAAAAAGTTTCAACCTTTTTAGGGGGAGGTGGTGCATGTTTACGAGAACTTGTTCGGTCTCCAAGAATCTGATGGCGACCCTCTTTAAGAGTTCTCTTAGCATCAACTTCAGAAAGAATAATAAAAAAGTGGCTGCAGTTTTCACATTTTACAAACCGGCTGGAGGCTAAAAATAGAAAACAAGTTCAAACTAAACAAAATTTTGAATATGGTATTTTGTAACTCAATCAAATGGTTTATTAAAACATAGTTGAATCACATAAATATATACAAAGTAATAAAGCAATTTAATACTGAAAAAATACGACAGAGTCTGCAGGATTGGCCGGAAGAAACCTATTTCTTCTAGGACAGTGGAAAAAATTGGAAGAACCAAAGAAGAAACTTAAAGTGAGTATTATAAGAATATAAAAATTTGAACAATTAAATATAATACAATAACAGAATCTAGTTGCTGACAACTTTCCGGAAGAAAAAAAATTTTCAGAAAACTTTACACTTTAAACTTTTTTCTGGTAACTTCAATAAAATAATTTTTTATGATTTCTTAAAAAATTCAACTAAAACTGAAGTATGATTATAAAAGTATGGCTATGTGCTAAATATCAAGATTAACGGTCATCACTTGCCTTGTGGCAACTAAATAAAAAAAAACAGTGGTCACTGAAAATATTATCATTTGCCACCCGGCCGCCACTGTCCCTATCTCAGTTATTGGCAATTAAAAGCTTAATTAAAAAACCTAGACGTTGCTAATGCTGTGATACTGTGGGCATCTTTTTTATGCTCTTTCTTAGTTAATAAGTTATACGCAAGGGAAATTGTGTATAAAACTGTGAATAATAACTTTAAATTATCAAAAAACATTCCTTTTTAAAATGAAATAATTTCCAGTTCTCATAATTAACACTTCATAATACAATAAATGTTAATGTCATTAATTAGTTAGTGTAAAAAAATTTATTTAAAATGAAAATTTTTAGATTTTAAGAGTAATTTAAAAACTAATTTGTTGCTAATTGTTACATTTTTTGGCTTCGAAAAAAAAAAGTGGCCACTTAAAATTGAGTTCTACTGGCCACCAGTGAAATTTCCTAATCTTGATCATTGCTATATATAGTACAAGGTGCGTAGCCAGATTTTTCAACAAAAAATAAGCACCTTTAAAGTACTTTTTCAACACTCAAAAAAAAAACATTTTATCACTTTCCAACAAAGAAAATCATAATTAGGATCCATGCAGTTATAAAAATTATTTTTTTCTATCATTTAAAGTTCTTAATTTATAAACATAAAATGAATAAAATTCAAAAACTTTACATAATCATGATAAAATAACTATTTTCTGATAAATATTGCAGAGAAAATTGTAAAAATCACACATTGTTTCAAGTTTAGAACAACAATCGACACGGCAAAGGAAAAATCTCTTCTTAAAAGATAGAAAGCTAAGCACTTTTTACCAACCCCGAATAAAAAAAGCACCTTTAAGGGCTTTTAATAAACATAAATCAAAAATAAGCGCTTTTTAAAAACACTACCTATGCACCCTGTAGTAGCTAATGGGGTTTTTTTTTTAACATTAAACCAACCATTAAATAAAATTTTTTGCAAAGACAGATCATGATCAATCAGGGCTTTGAATGGACGAGTTAGAATGTATATAAAAGATATTTACAAACACTTCAAGATATTTCATGAGGATATATATATTTACAGCAATTTATTTATTAAAATAAAACTCAGGAAAATAATACATACTAACAAAAGTTTCTACAGTAGTGCAAACTGTACCACACTTCGGGCATCGAAGCAGGCCATCACGTCCATTACCACCATCACTACCTTTAGATGAAGACTTTTTGCCATCTCTATTTTTTACACTTGAATCATTATCTTTCCCACCAGAATTTGAAGAACTGCACAAAGCTCTGGTAAAGGTTACAGGATAAAACCCTTTGCATAGATTAGGTCCGCTTTTTGCATCTCCAAGAAATTTTATTATGCCTGGAAAAAATTGCATTTAAATTTTGTTCTATATTGGCAGGCTTACATAGTGACTTTAATTTTAAGAGATGCATCAGAAATCTGATTTAAGCCACCAGTATAAGACAACACTTGCAGTTTAACGATATAACGATACAACATGCAAAGATCCTTGCCTACTCTAACTTGTCTAGCTGCTAAGATGTTGATTGCGTCTAGTTACGAAGACAATGTGAGTAACATGATGATGAATGACGAAGAGCGAATTGAATCAGAACTCCTGGTTTCATACGAGGATCAGCATTGAAATATAGAACACAATGCATAGTTTCTTTATTCGCCATTTTTGTCTTTGGGATTTTACATTTTTAAAAGATTATTTTCAGCAGGGCTTACGTTATTTTGCGATTGCTCGGCATTTTATTTCGTCGAGACTAACTTTTCTTGTCAATTATTTTCAGTGCGACTTTTGCTACTTATTGATTGTTTTTTTTATGTATTATTTTTTCACTTTTTTCTTTCTTTATTTTTTTTGTCTGTCAAAATTTAACGATTCTGGTCAATTATTTTTAGTAGACCTACTGTTACTTTGCGATCGCTGTTATCTAAAATTTTCATTCTTAACTCAATCTATTAATGAAAGGAAAATATGAATAAAAAAAGATTCTTCATTGATTTTTTTTAATTATTGTTCTTAATTTTAAGTGATCCAATTTAATAGGGGTATTTTGTATTTAAAGAATTAATACTTTGTTATAAAAACTTAGTTTATTTTTTTAATTTATTCATGTACATAAGTATAATAGTTTGATAGAATTTGATTATTTTCATACGAATAAATCTTCAGTTGTTCTTAATTATAAAAAAATTAAAACAAATCTGAGATTTATTTAATTTGCTTTTATTTTTGATAAAATTAAAACAAAGTTTGCATTAATTTTTATAAAAAAATTTGGCTATTAGTTAAAACGAATTAATTTTTCTAATTAAATAAAAAGTCAAGCAATGTTTTGACACTTTTTAATAATTTAACAACACTACTTATAGCACTTTTTTTTTCAATTTTTCTTAAAATACTTTCAATACATGCTTGATTGATAATTTGTTAGATAGTCAGTATGTTTTTTAATCCAATAAATCTTTAGTCCATTTTATTTTCAAAGAAGAAATTAAAAATAAATAACTTACACTTATTATAGAATTTGACCATACAACTTTATTATTTTAAATTAATAAATAAAAAGAAGGTCTAACGATGTTCTTCAAAAAATAATTTTAAAAAAGGTTTTACTAAAGAGAGCATTTCTTTGGTTTGTTTTTACTTTCGTTTTTTTTTTTTTTTTTTTCCTTTTAATTTTTAATGTAAGTAAATAAATAATTTGTCACAGTTTTATTATTTTTTTTAAACCAATAAATCATAAACCATTTTTAATTTTAAAAAAAGTAAGAAAAAAAAAACCTGTGTTTGTTTTCATTTTAAGACATCCATCGTAAGTCAATTCATATTTATTATTTTAATTGAAAAAATTAAGGAATGCTATTGATGTTATAGAAGAATTTTTTCAGAATTAACAATTTCTTTTGTAATAGATCCATTCCTTTTATTTATTATTGATTGATTTAAAGATTTCTGATAGATAATTTTCAAACATATGTTAAATCGCGAAACATTGCTATATTGAGATATCTAACAGACAATATAACATACTATAAAATTTCTTATGTAGCCCAGTTCTAATTATGATACTAAAAAATATAAAGCTTTCATAAACTGAAAATTTGTAGCAATGTAAGTGAATTTACAATGAAATTTTAACAAATCGAAAGCACAAAGGATGTTTATTCACATTTGTCTTTCAATAAAAAAAAATTATAATACTAACAATTTGAAACAGTTAGTCGTGAAGAAGATATTTACATTTGTTCTAGCTCAGCACCCAGAATTTGTCAGTTCTTGAATAGAATTATTATGCATGTTAGAATTTAACAGTTATATTTAGGTTATATAATTAGGTATTTAAAGGTTATAAAAATAATAAAAGCTTAATTCCAGAAATTCTGGTTTATGCAGGCCAGCAATAATGCACATATCAAATACAACAATTTCGCTAACTTTAGTGATAATAATGCTCATTAAATACAAAACTATCACTATCGTTTTAAATAATTAAGATTATCAAATATGATAATACTGCAATCATTATCAATAACAACATTGTAAAAGAAAATATATTGAGTGTAACGATAATTACTGAATTAGATATTATAAGAGTTGATAAATTCTAAAGGATCTAACCAAAATATTGACCAATTAAAATTATAAATAAGTTAAAATAGGATAAATATTGCGAGATTTGAAATCTTATCAAAGTCTGGAACTTATCAATTAAAGGGACCAATATTCGTTTTGGCAACAACTCAAAACAAGTAATCGTGAATACATAGTTCATATAACTGATAAGTGCCTTATTTTATCACACTAATAAAATTATCACAACTTTTTAAAAATGTCTTAAAAAATATAATTAACTTACATTTTTTAGTGTGTTGAGACAGAAGTCCTCTCTTCACCAAATGAACGGCAGTGAAGGACATTGTAGCAACTATAAATTTTTAATCTGAAATTAAAGTAAACGTTAGATGCATGAAGGAATCTGATAACAGGTCATCTAGTAGAATATTATTGTGATCATACAATTTTTCCAATGTGCAATTTTTTAAAAAAAAAAAAATACATAGANATAACTTGTCTAGTGGCAAAGATGTTGATTGCGTCTAGCTACAAAGACAATGTGAGTTTCGTGATGATGACTGATGAAGAGCAAATTGAATGAGAACTCCCGGTTTCATGCAAAGATCAGCATTGAAATATAGAACGCAATGCATAGCTTACTTATGCGATACTTTTGTCTTTGGGATTTTACGTTCTTTTAAGATTATTTTCAGCAGGACTTATATTATTTTGCGATCACAGTGCATTTTATTTCGTCGAGACTAACTTTTCTTGTAACAGTTTGTCATTTTATTATGACAATTATTTTTAGTAGACCTACTGTTACTTTGCGATCACTGTTATCTTAAATTTTCATTCTTAACTCAATCTATTAATTAAAAGAAAATAGGAATAAAAAAAGATTCTTCATTGATATTTTTAATTATTGTTTTTAATTTTAAGGGATCCAATTTAATAGGGGCATTATGTATTTAAGTAATTTATACTTTGTTATAAAATTGTTATAAATTTAATTTATTTAATGCACATAAGTATAATAGTTTGATAGAATTTGATTATTTTCATACCAATAAATCATCAGTTGTTTTTAATTATAAAAAGATTAAAGCAAAGTTTGTGTTAATTTTTATAAAAAAAATTGGCTATTAGTTCAAACAAATTAATTTTTTTAATTAAATAAAAAGTCGAGCAATGTTTTGACACTTTTTAGTAATTTAACAACAGTACTTATAGTACTTTTTTTAAATTTTTCTTAAAATACTATCAATACATGTTCGTTTGATAATTTGTTAGACTGTCCATATGCTTTTTAAACCAATAAATCTTTAGTCCATTTTATTTTCAAAGAAGAAATTAAAAATAAATAACTTACACTTATTATAGAATTTGACTATTAGTCAATACAACTTTATTACTTTAAATTAATAAATAAAAGAAGGTCTAATAATGTTTTTCAACAAATAATTTTAACGGTTTTACTAAAGAGAACATTTCTTTTATTTGCTTTTACTTTTTTTCCCCTCTTAATTTTCAATGTAAGTGAGTAAAATAATTTGTTACAGTTTTTTATTATTTTTAAACCAATAAATCATAAACCATTTTTAATTTTAAAAAAAAAAGCTTGTACTTGTTTTCACTTTAAGACATCGATCTTAAGTCAATTCATATTTATTATTTTAATTGAAAAAATTATGCAATGCTATTGATGTTATCGAAGCATTTTTTAGAACTAACACTTTCTTTTGTAATAGATTCATTCCTTTTATTTATTATTCATTGATTTAAAGATTTCAGATAGATAATTCTCGAGCATATGTTAAATCGCGATACATTGCTATATTGCGATGCCTAACAGACGATATAACATAATATAAAATTTCTTACATGGCCCAGTTATAATTATGATACTAAAAAATACAAAGCTTTCATAAACTGAAAATTTGTAACAATATAAGAGAATTTACAATGAAATTTTAACAAATTGAGAGCACAAAGGATGTTTATTCACATTTCTCTTTCAATAAAAAAATTTTAATAATAACAATTTGAAACAGTTATTCGTGAAGAAGATATTTACAGTTGTTCGATTAACACAGCACCCAGAATTTGTCAGTTCTTGAACAGAATTATTATGCATGTTAGAATTTAACAGTTGTATTTGCATTATAAATAGGTATTTAACGGTTATAAAAATAATAAAAGCTAAATTAAAGAAATTCTGGTTTATGCAAAGCTTAATTCTGGTTCATGCAGACCACTAATAATGCACATATCAAATAAAAGAATTTCGCTAACTTTAGTGATAATAATACTCATTAAATACAAAACCATCACTATCGTTTTAAATCATTATGATTATCGAATATGATAATACTGCAATCATAATCAATAACAACATCGTAAAAGAAAATATAATGAGTATAAAGATAATTACTGAATTAGATATCGTAAGTGTTGATAAATCCTAAAAGATCTAACCAAAATATTGACCAATTAAAATTATAAATTAGTTAAAATAGGAAAAATATTGTGAGATACTTGAAATCTTATCAAAGTCTGGAACTTATCAATTAAAGGGACCAATGTTGTCTCGGCAACAACTCAAAACAAGTAATCGCGAATACATAGTTCATGTAACTGATAAGTACCTTATTTTATCACACTAATAAAATTAGCACAACTTTTAAAAAATATGTTAAATAATATAATTAACTTACATTTTTTAGTGTGTTGAGACAGAAAACCTCTCTTCACCAAATGAACGGCAGTGAAGGACATTGTAGCAACTATAAATTTTTAATCTGAAATTGAAATAAACATTAGATGAATGAACAAATCTAATAACAGGTCATCTACTAGAATATTATTGTGATCATACAATTTTTGCAATGAGCAATTTTTAAAAAAAAAATGCATAGAGGTTTGTCCAAGAGTGTATAAGAGTTACACTTGCTGGCTGCTGCATGGAAGTTGCCAAGACTTGGCGATTATCGTGCTGCAAGTCAGGACGCAAAAATCTTCCCAAATCCATGGTAGATCACCAGTTTTCAAACTCGCTGATTTAGCTGTAGGGGTGCACAACATTTTAGAGTGAAAGGCCACTTGCACAGAAGGTTGACAAAAGAAGGGTTGCACACATATTTAGTCATGTTGGCAGTAAATATGATAAGGTTTGCATGAACTAATGTGTTCAAAGAATTTAATTGTTTTATCAGTGAACTTAGAATTATTTAACTATTAGAATTCATTCAAAAATGAAAAAGCTGATACTTTTAATTATAATTGTTCTCTTTTATCAATAATTGATTTATTTATATATATAT